TCCCTGCCTTCGACCCTGATTCAGAGACCAGGGTCACAGTCGTGGAGGGGGTGGAAGACCAAGAGAAAGGGCTGAGCAGAGCCAGCCCCCTGCCAACGAGCTCTCTTGGATAGAACTGTCACTGCCAAGGGCCTGTCTCCTCCCTGCCTCGGCAGGGAGAGAGTCGGGAGGGGGCTGCGACCCTCCCCTCCCCCAGGAGGGGCTCCAGGGCCCACAGGGAGGAGAGGACGGCTGAAGAGAGAACCTACAGAGGTTGAGAGGAGACGGCTCCACATCAGAGGCCCAGAAAATGCCGGCGGCTGTGGCGGCCGAGAAGTCCTGCTTCCCCCAGGGGCTGGCCATACCCACGGCCTTCAGCTTGGCCTTCTTGGCCGGCGGTAGGGAGGGGAGCAAGGAGAGGGCCGAAGAGGTGGGAGGCGGCTGCCCCAGCTGGCCCGGGGCACCGTGCCCGAGTGGGAGGCGGAGCTGGACACCGTCCCTCCTGATGAGCCCGTGGAGCACGTCTATGGGGGATCCCTTGGCGTCCGGATCGCTGACGCCCAGGTGGCGCAGGTGGGCACGGGCGTGGCTGGACAGGCCCTTTCGGGTCTCAAACCAGGCACCGCACAGCTGGCAGTCCAGCTCTCTGCCCCCGTCACTATCTAAAGCTGCGGAGACAAAACACAGGGAGGGGAGGGGGCAGTTTCACGGCCGCCACCTTGGCCGGCCTTTTAGGGGACTGAGGCAGGAGGGTCTCGTGTGATTGCTTTTTTTTTCTTTCCAGCTGCCCAGGCACTTTGGAGTCCAAGGTTCCATGCCACAGGAATTATTTGGAGGTCCTGTTCCCCAGCCTTGCCCTCCGGCATCAAGGCGAGTACTGAAGAGCTGGAGGATACGACAGAGCGGACAGGCGGCGACCAAGTTCAAACCCTGATGCTCCTGGGCCCTCTCGCACGGCGCCCTTGCCACAGGCGCCACAGGGAATATACGGGGGGCACAGGACAGGAACCCCTCCCTCCAGCCTTGGGACCCTTGCCAAGGGAGCTGTGAGGACAGAGAGGGGGTGCAGAGCAGGGGTTCCCACCTGCTGCCAAGCACCCTATGAGGGCACTTCAAAAAGTGTGCAGAAAATTGGAGTGACAAGGTTAAGCATATTCTGGTGCAAAAGATGGTGAAGTCCATGCACAGCTGATTCATAACACACGCTTCCCATGAACTTTCTGGAAGGCTCCTCGTCTAGCCAGGGGCACACCTGTCAGGGCCCCTGGAGCAGACTCAGGGGAAGCAGTTCCCAGGGGAACGTGAGATGCCACCAGCAGGAGGCCAGACCCCAGTGTGTGGGGGTGGGGTGGGGTCGCCCCCAGACACTAAAGCCCACAAACTACAGCCTCTGCTCCCAAGGGATGCCTGATGTTCCCTCGCTCACTGCTCCCCTGCCTCTATCGGCTGGGCCTCTACCCCTGGGCACTGACAGAGGGGGAGTCGCCTCCCATGAGAACTGGGCTGCCCAGGGGGAATCTCCTGTCCCCCCCTTGACTATCTGCAAGACCCATGATGCTCCGAGCTCCCACCGGGGAAGTCAGGCCCCTAACCCTCGGGCCCAGAGGAGGCCCAGTGCTGAGGATGACCCTGGCAGGACTCAGCAGCCGTAGCCAAGCCTCCAGGGCGGGGGCGGTGGAGAACGGAGTGAGGGAGACAGAAGATCATACGCAAGCGAGCGCCTCAACCACTGATGCCTGACCCAGCCAACCCAAGACGTGGGGCTGCAAGTCCCCCTCTGCCCCTACCCTGGGCCCTAGAGCCCGACCAGAGGCTCCCGCCCTCCCGGCACTGGGACCTCCCTTGGTTCCCTGGACCCACACTCACTGAGGTTCAGGGGCCCTTCGTCATCGGACTGGGGCCACTGCGCCTTGGGGGAGGCCGGCCGGGGGCTCAGGGACAGCTGGGGGCTCTTGTCCTCAGGATTCTTGGGGGTAGGGGAGCCCACCAGGGCCAGCGGCGCCTTCTTGAGGAGCGGAGAGCCGGGTGGATGAGCCAGGCCCTTGGCTGAGAAGCCAGGAGGTGACTTGACGGCTTTGTGGATGGCAGGGGCATCCAGAGGCTTGGCCAGGGTGAGGAGGCCGGGCCGGGGGCCCCCGGAGACCACCTCCTTTGGTGAGCTGGACTTCTTAGCCAGGCTTGGGGGCAGCCCAAGGGGGGCGTCAGGCAGACCCTTCTGCTTCACAAGCTCGTAGAGGAGGTCGATGGGGGCACCGCTGCTCTCAGACTCCGCCACCCCCAGCTGCCGCAGGTGCGAGCGCGCGTGGCTGGACAGGCCCTTGCGGGTCTCGAAGCAGGCGCCGCAGACCTCGCAAGTGGTCAGGCTCTGAGCTGGAGGGCGAGACGGGGGCCGGGGGGAGGGCGGGCTGTGAGGCCTGTGGGCCCAGCTCGCCCACTTCTCCTCTCCCTGAGGGCCCCACTCAGCCAGGTTCCATGAAAGTGTTTTGCCTCTGTCAAGTTCCACCCTCCACCCCCCCACTCCCCATTCTTATAAGGATTCTAAGGAGGCAGGGATGGGCCTGTGTGGTTTGCAAGCAAGGGAACTGAGGCTCAGAGAGGGGAAGAGTTACGCCCAAGGGCACACAGCTGGAGGCTGAGGCCACGTGTGGTCTAGCCAGTGGGGATGCCCCTTCAGAGCCCCAAAGCACCGCATTTGCCCAACACCGACCTGCCAGCCACATGCTCCACCAAGCGAGGGTCACCTGGGCTCAGCCCCACAGACTGAGCCACAGACCCCAGACACAGCCTCAGCGGGACCCCACACCCTCTTCTGTAGAGCTCCTAGCCCTGACTGCGTCTCTGCCTCGCTGGCCCCAAGCTTCAAGGACTGCCCCCCCGCTCATACACACACACACACAAGTGCAAGGCCAGGGCTGTCTGTCCTCTCACACACCTGGGCTCTAGCCCAGGGCCCGAGACTACTCAACCACGACAAACACAGAGGAATCGGTGGCATGCGAAGATTCTGCGCAGCTGAGGAGGGTCAGGGTTGGCAAAGGAACTGGGTCTGAACCAGAAACCCCGCAGCCTCTCTGGACGCCCCGCCCTCACCCAGCTGGGGGGGCACATGTGCTCTGGAAGCTCAAGAGCAAAAGACAGGTGTTGCCTTGGTGCCTGCAGGGAGCCATGGCCAACCTGCGGGCCCCACATGAACCCGCCAGGCCCAAGCGCTCCCCTCTGATTGGGACCAGCCCTGCCAGCACCCCCGCCTGCCACCTGGGCCACTCACCCTTGAGGTCTGGCAGCTCCTGCTTGCTGCCTTGAGAAGCCTCTGCAGCCACTTTGCTGCTCAGCCGACTGGCCACCTGTTCCAAGGCCCCAGTGACAGGCAGGCTCTTCTTAGGGAGTGGGGGGGACCCCAAGTCCACGGCCACCATGGCGTTTTCCTCAGAACCCAGGCCTGCGGGGTGGGGGTGGGGGACACAGGCTGAGCCCAGGTGGCGGTCAGCCTGTCTACCCGCAGGGGGCGGCCCTTCTTCCTCCATCCTGGGGGCCTGCGCTCACTCTGGGCACAGCTCCTACTCCATGAAGCCTGCGGCCCCACTGACAGCACGGACACTTGGGGGAGGGGACGCAGCGCAAACCTGAGCTGAGCCTCTCCTGGTGGGCACCTCAGACTAAACATCTCTTGGGACAGAACTTGAAAGGGAGGCAACACCTGTCAGGCCAGAGGGTGGAGGTGGTGGGGAGAGGTCGGAAGGGGAACCCCAAAAAGGCAGCCAGGGTCAGGAGCCCCGAAAGCCAATGTGGGGGATGCGGAGGCGGGTGGCTCCTTGTCAGCTTTGGCCTTGTGAGAAAGTGCCACCAGCCAGCCACCCTGGGGCTAGGACTGGTCATAACGCTAAAGCGAGGCCCTCTAGCCTGGACCAACAGTGGACAGGAAGAGTAGGAACCAAAGAACTTCCTGCGAAGTGATGGTGACACCCATCGGGGGTGACGGGTGTCGTGGCCAGAGGAGGAGCAAGGCTGGATTTTGGCCGAATCGCTAGGAAGAAAGGAGCCCGGGAGGCCTGCTTGAGCCTCCAAGTTGAGAGTTGAGAGAGAATGGCGACAGCTCAGAGCAGGAAGCATCTATGTGTGGAGTTGGGGCCTTGGAGGCAGGAGAGAGGCACGGGGCAGGCGGAAGGGCCAGCCAGGTCCCCTGCTCAGTGCGAGTCCTCCAGAGCCAGGGACAGGGCAGTCCAGGCCAGGGGACCCTGGGGCGCAGCGCCACCGAGGACTTTGTCAAAAGTCGCGGGGTCGGGTGGGCGCATCTGTCAGAAGGGGCCCGGCCCAAGTGGGTCTCCGCGCCTCAGGGACTGCGGTCGCGGCCTGGGCCCCTCCCGGGGGGCCCCCAGGCGACAGGGACATCTGTCAGGCAGTACGAGGGCGTCGCGGAGCGGCGGCGCAGAGCTTCTGGGCCCGGGGACTCTGCGAGCGGCGACAGGAGCCCAGGAGCCCGCGCCCCTGGACGGCCTAGGGGAGGGAATCCCCGAGACTGGACGGCGGGCGTCGGGGGCGACGGCGGCGGCACGGGCAGGCAGGACACCGACTTCCCCTCCCCGCACCCTCCCGGGCGCGGGCTCTTACCCGGCGGGGGCGCGGGCCCCGGGCCCGGCTCCGGCTCGGCCTTGGGCCCGTCCCGCGACGGCGGCGGCGGCGGCGGCGGCGGCGGGGGTGGGGGCGGCGGCGGCGGCGGCGGCGCGGGGAGGGCCACCGGGCCGGGGCTCGGGGGACCGGACGGGGGCGCCCCCGTGGGCGCGCGCTCCCGGGCGCCCCCCGCGCGCGGCCCCGCCGCCGCCTTGCTCTCCGCTTTTGTCACTCGGCACTGGGCGGTGGAGGCGGCCATCTTGGCTCCGGCGCACGCGGGGCGGCCGCCCCAGGCGGGAGCAGCCGAGCGCCGAGCGCCTCCGCCGCCGAGCCGCTCCGCCCCGCCTCTCGGGCGCGCCCAGGGTGGCCTGCCGAGCGCAGAGCGCCATGAGCGAAAACGCCTGTGCGGGACCGGCGGAGTCGCGGCTGGAGCCACCTCCAACCGCCGTCCCAGGTGGGACCTCGGCTATCGCGACGTCCAGGATGGGAATCCTCCTGCCGCATGCATCCACACCCCGACAGCATCTAGCCTCCCAGAGCCCCGACTGGTAGAGCTAGGACTGCCCCCAAGACCCCACCCCCTCCCCCGGCGCGGACCCTGCCCCATTCATTCTCTGTCTTGCAAGTCTCCCCCTCCAGATCGAGGATCCTGGAAGACAGCTGATCCACAACCCTGAGGAGTCCCCAAGATCGTCCTGGCCATCCCTCGACGGTGCTGCACCACACTCTTGCGGACCCCTCCCCTCCCCTCGGTCGGCACCCAATTTAAACACACTGCCTGCTTCTCCCTCTCCAACACCAAACTGACTGTCCCCAGCTGTTCCTTGACAGCTGGGGTGGGGCCAAACTGACTTGCCCCGCCCCCAGCCTGGCCCCGCCCCCGTCAGCCCTCTAGGGGAGGCGCCTAAGGACAGAGCCCAGACACCCAAAGGCATTCGCTGAAAGACTGGCCACAGCGCCCCCTCCCCGGGGACAGGGCAGGGACAGTGCCACACACACACACACACACACACACACACACACCCCTCCTGTCTTAAGCTGACTCCTCACAACCCAGTGGCTGCACCGGCAGGCTCAACACTACCTGGGGGCTGATCTTAGCTAAAAACGGTGTGCTCCCATCCTTGGGATGCAGGTGCCAGGTAGGGAACTGTGGGTCTCATATACAGGCCCCTGCTGGGGCAACACAGAAGTCAAGGGGGCAGGATGGGAGCTAGAAACTGCCCCCTGCGCACCCTTAGCCATCCTCAAAGGCAGCTGTGCCTCCAAATAGCTCAAGTGGGTGAGCTGAACACCTAGGCTTCAGCAGAGGCAGGACGCTGCGGGTCACATCCCAGTTCGGCCTCTCCTCCTTGTCCGGGGGGAGAGAAGGGGCTTATGGCAGCCCCCCCACACACACACACTTCGCTTCTACACACTCCTGAGTGGTAGTCTGCAAGGGTTCTGATGGAGCCTGCAGTACAGATCCACATGGAATCTTGCAAACTGCCCCAAGCAGTCCCCGGAGACAATTCCTAACCAGGCATCCTCCGGTCCTCAGAGCCCAGCTAGTTCTCAAGCTCTCTGGTCAAAGGCTCTTGCAAAGTCAGATTTTGTAGACTCTCACTTTTCCACTCCCTGTGCAGGTGCCCAGCCCCAGGCTCCCTCACAGAACAGTTTTACACCCCGATCTCTTAAGCCCCCCGCCCTTACTGGAAACAACCACGGATCAGGACACAAGGCCAAGACTGCCGCTGGCTGGGCGACTGTGGCAAAGCAAAGGACACTCAGCTTCCTGTGCTGTGGTCCTTCCTACAGACCTCAGCCCCCCACCCCCACCACAAACAGAACAGCAACAGTTTGAAGACTGAGTACTCAGCCCGTGCACGGTTATGGGAGGGGATTGTCCACGCTGCTGGAGCAACAGTCCTGGGACCCGAGATTTGTGCTGTCCAGTAAGCTCACCCCTAGCCTCCGACCAGCCATAGTTCAAGTGTTCAACAGCTCCCAGTGACTGGTGGGGACCCCTTCCAGAACAGCGCAGATAGCCACACAGCATCTCCCACATTCCAGAAAGTTCTATCAGACTGCTTTTTGGGTTCCAAAACCCTGACCCCACTTCTTCCAGCTGTGTGACCCTGGGCAGGTTAATTACCTTTCTGTGCCTCAGTCTGTGATCTGTAAAATGGGGATGGTGATGATGATGATGATAATAAAAGTGCCTTCTAGGGTTATGTTGAGGAAATCAGTGTGTTCGTGCATATGAAGTTGCTAAGTGCAGCTTTTGGCTCTTAGAGCTCCATAAGCACTTGTGAAAATGTGTTAGGAAGGGCAGGAAGAGACCATATCCAGAAAAGATTCCTGGCCCACAAATGACCCCCTAAGTGGAAGGGTGGCTGTGTGATTTGACAGCGTTCTTTGGAAAGGGACACAAAACACTTTCAGGAAAACTGAGTGGCTGCTCCCTGCCCCCCAACCCCCAGGGACCCCACCCACCCCACCACCATCCCCTCTGAACTCCAGGGAAGGACCAGGGCTCCAGCCCCAGTCCACTCCCTCCTCTTACCATCTCCGTAGGCCGGCCCAGGGTCCTCGGCCCAGGTGGGCGGGAAGGGCACTGTGAGAGGGAATCGGGGTCTACGAGAGGACAGGAAGCTGCCTGGGGGCCCGCCAGGCTCCCGGCCCAGGGGGCTGGGGGGCAGCTCAGCGGCTGAGGTGGCCAGCAGCTCCTGCAGGATGTTGATGGGCGAGACGGTGAGCTCCCAATTGGTGATGCCGAAGTCGCGCAGGTGCGCCCGGGCGTGGCTGGAGAGGCCGGCGCGCGTGTCAAAGCCGGCCCCACAGAAGTCACAGCGCATCAGGCTGAAGGTGCCTGGGTCGAAGTTCGCCACTGCAGAGAGAGAAAGAGAGAGGCGTGTGGACTGGCTTGGGGAGGGGAGTGGTGGGGAGGGGCGACTCTCCAGTCCCAGCCTCTGCCAGACCCCAGGGCCTCTTATCCTCTGCAGGTTCACACGGCCAGTACCGTTCATCTCCCCTTGGCTGCTCAGGGCCTGCCTGCCTGCCTGCCCGCCCCTTGGCTCTCTGCACCTGCACCTGCATCCCCCTGCCTGGGGGTTTCCCTCTTCACACATCTGGACAACATCAGGGAACTCCGTCCCCAAAGCACATTCTCCAATGGGAGGCTTGTGATCATTTCGGTGAGTATTCGGTAAACAGATTTCTCTTGTCTACTTTTGCTTGTAGTCATCCTGGTGCTATCAGTTAAATATGCAATGGATGAAATGGACAAAAAGGACCTAACACACGCTCCTCTGGATATCCTCCCCTCCACGCCCCCCCCCCCACCTCCTGCAGGTGCACCTAGAGACTTCTAAGCTTCCCCTAACTCCACCAGGACCACTCAATGTCCTGACCACCCACCCGGCTTTCTGGTTGTCTGCTTCTAGAGTACACACACACACACACACACACATACACACATACACACACCATATCAGCATCTCCCCATGTGGGCTCCAGGTCTACCAGTATCACAACCACCCCTGGACCTCCGGGATCAGAATCTCACTGCCTGGGAATCTGCGTACTTCAGTGCAGTTCCTGGGGTTCTAAGCCAGCCGGCGTGTGTGTGTGTGTGTGTGTGTGTGTGTTGGGGGTGAGGGCAGAGTCTCTCTGGACCTGAATTCCAGGGCAGCAAGAATGACTCTTGCATTCATTGCTGAATCTGCAGTGCCCAGACAGGGGAGATCTCGATGGATCAATTATTTGTCCAATGAAGGGATTAAATTCTCCCCTGGGAGAGATCTGCTGCCTGTTCTCCTTTGGGGCCAGCTGCTGGCACAGCCAGGGCACTGACCTTCAGTGGTAACCTTGGCCCTGACTCAAAGATCTCTCAGCAGAGGAGGCCCCAACATCACCCTCCTTGGTAGTAAGGGAGGGGTTAAGAGTGAGAGTGGGTGGGTTAAGAACTCAGCTATCAATGCCTGCATTGTGGCGCCGTAGGGTAAGCCATCACCTGAGACACCAGCATCCCATGAGACCACCAGTATGCGTCCTGGTTGCTCCACTTCCGATCCACCCCTCACCCACCATGAAGTGCCTGGGAAAGCAACAAAAGATAGCCGAAAGTACCATCCTGGGGAGTGAACCAGCGAATGGAAGATTCTCTCTCCCTCTCTCTCTCTCCTTTCCTTCTATAACTCTGCCTTCCAAATAGGATTTATGTATTTACTTGAAAAGCAGAGTTACAGAGAGAGAGAGAGAGAGAGAGAGAGAGAGAGAGAGAGAGAATCTTCCATCCGCTGGTTCACTCCCCAGATGGCTGGAAGCCAGGAGCCAGGAATTCCATCTGGGTCTCCCACATGGGTGGCAGGGGCCCAAGCACTTGGGCCATCTTCCGCAGCTTCTCCCAGACCATTAGCAAAGAAGTGGATCAGAACAGGGATGCCACTGCTGCGGCTTTACCTGCTATCCTACAATGCTGGCCCAATAAATAAATAGGAAAAAAAAAAAAGCTAAGAAGAACTCAGCCGCCTGCCTCCTGAGCCTTGGAGGAAGGTGGGTGCTGCACCGAAGTCCCCCCACTCCTACCCTACCTTTTTTCTTTTTCTTCTGGAAGGAGAACCTGCGCTCGATGGCTTTCACCTCCTCGGCGGAGATGAAATGCCGCACGTTGTAGCTGACGCCCACGCGGTTCAGATGGCCCCGCACGTGGTTGGCCAAGCCGATGCCATTGTGGAAACGGTCGGGGCAGTAGGGGCATTTCCGCTCCTCCGGCTTCAGTGCCGCGGCCGGGTCTCCCTCCAAGAGCGTGTCCAGCCCCAGGGGGTCACCCATCGGCGCATCCAAGAGCAGGAAGTCCAAGGGGTGGGTGCCTGCCAGGCCCAGCTCCTCCTCCGGCGGCAGCCTCGGGGGCGCCCGGGCCGCCGCCGCCGCCATCACCTGCGGCCCCAGCCTTGCCACCAGCACGATGGGTACCATCCCTCGGAGCTGTTGCTGCTGCGCGCGCGACGCCTCGGCTGTGCGCAGCGCATCTTGGAAAGTCCGCTTCAGCTCCAGGGCTGGCTGTGGGAGGAGGCTGGGGGTGGCTGGGGCTGGACAGAGCCCATTTTGGGGGGAACAATCCATTTCTGAGGTCAGCGCTGCAGCCTCCTCCTCCTCTTCCTCCTCTTCCTCTTCTTCCTCCTCTTCGCTCCACGGGCGCCTCCGGTCCCCCAGCCTCTGCGGGCGGAGGATGCTTTTGCCTCTCCCGAGCTGTAGGGAGTATGGGGTGGACGCCAGCGGCGAGGAAAAGGCCAGCCTTCCAAAAGGACTCTGGCTGGAGCCATGCGCCAGTGGCTTCGACGTTGGGAAATCCCTCACGCCCAGCTGCGGGCAGTCTGGGCGCAAGTCCAGGCCAGGGTCGTATTCAGCAGGGTTCTCCCGCCACACGGGGGCTAGGAACGGCTCAGCTTTGCCAAAGTAATCCACAGCAACATCGGGGAAGCGGGCGTAGGCATCCTGGCTGGTGCCTGGCTGGCTGGCAGGGTCCTGTTCCTCCTGCTCCTCCTCCTCCTCCTCCTCTTCTTCCTCAAAGGTGTCCTCCCTGCCCTCCTCCCAGTGGGGAGGGGCATGCGCCAGCCTCACGTGCTCCCTGAGCAGGCTCTCGCTGGGTGCGGGGAAGCCACACACGACGCAGGCACTCAGCCCCGAGGCGGGGGTGGCTCCGTAGGGGTGATACACAAGGGTGCTGGCGTCCAGGCTGGGGCTAGCGGGCCGGCTGCCACCTGGGAGGGGCTCCTTGGCCGGCTGGCCCGGCGGCTCGCGCACGTGCAGCTTGGCATGCTGCACGAAGGCCCTGGAAGAATTGGTGCCAAACACACACTTGGGGCACTGCAGCCGCGCCTCGCGGCCCTCATCGCCCGGAACTTGTTTCAGCTTCTGGATCTCCTCAATGATTTTCTCCCGCGAGGCCTGGTGCAGCTGCCGGTGCTGCTCCAGGGCCGTGGGGTCAGCAAAGCCCCAGCCACACTCCCCGCAGGCCAGCGGGGCCACGTGGGCGGGAGGCTCCTGGCCCGGGGCCTGGCGGTGTTGGGTCATGTGGTCTAGGAGGTGTTCCTTCTCTTTGAAGTATATGCTGCATTCGATGCACGGGAACACGGCCGGCTCTTCATCCTCGTCCTCGCCCTCGTCCATGCTGGCCACCCCCTCGACCACCTCCTCCAGTAGCTCACACAGGTAGGGCCCTGGCCGGACAGGGGACAGCAGCGGCTGCAGCCGCTCCACGGATGCCTCTGAGTTCACCGTCCAGGTCTGTGTGGCCACCTCTGAGGCCGAGGCAGGCAGGTCCCATTCGGACCGCTGGGACAGCCCATCAAGGTCCTCCAGGTCTTCCGTGGTGCCCACCATGGCCACGTCCATCGTCTTGGGCGTGTCCTCCACCGGCACCAGAACCCTCCTGAAGGAGGGGAGGGGCGGGAGCAGCTGGGGGCGCAGGTCCAAATGCAGCTCTGTGTCCCTGGGGGCCCTTTGCTCGTCGGTATCTCTGAGCCATTCAAACCCGGGGCGGCCCCTGTGGGCCTTCTCCAAGAGCTTTGGGTCACCCTGGTGGTGCAAGAACCTTCTAGAGCCCTCGAGCTCAGCATGGGGTTTCAGGGTTCTCACGATAACCGAGTCCTCGAACCCCTGCTCAGAGGGGTTGCCCTCCCCTGCTTCTTGAGCCAGGGGGTGCTCCCAGGGCCCCTGGCCATCAGGGGGCTCAGGAAAGTGGCCCAGGAGATGGGGTGGCGGAGAGCCTGGCCGGAAGTCCAGGCTGCCTCCATCCCAGCAGCTGCAAGGAAGTGCCAATGAGGGAAAGGTTAGCCACACGCCTTAGTTTGCCTTCCTAGGGTGGTGGTGGGATCCTCTCGGACAGTCTGATGCAGACCCCCCGGAGATCCACTCAGAAGGCAGCCTCAGAGGGGCTGTGTGGGTGAGGGGGGCGGTCCCTCTGGACATTCCCCAAGCTGTGGGTCAAGAGCCAGGTTCAGCTCCCGGGATGCACCAGCCCTAGTGCATTATCTGGGAGGTGGGGGAGGGGACATGCAGAGAGACCACACCCAGGGCCACTTCTACGGAGTGTCTCCCAGTCTGGTGGCACAGTCAACTCTCATCTCTCTCCAGAGGCTGACCTGTGGTCCCAGCTGCTTCTGCGTCCTGGGGCTGATTTAGTTACTTTTGGTCCCCCCTTCTCCCCAGATTTGGTGAATGTCACCTTTGTGGCAGAGCAATTCCAAGGAGAGCACCTTTGCTCTTGCAAGGAGAGGTTGAGGCAACCCCCCCCACACACACACCCCTCTGTTCAGTCTCTGGCCCCAGTGACTGTGAGGTGGGGGGGAGGCGAGACAACCCCTCCAGGCCTGAGTTTTCTGATCCTAAAAACGAGGGTGACTCCCAAGAACTGAACACCCTCCTTGTCCTTATCCAGAGCCTAGGGAGATTTCTCACAGCCGTCATCAAGGAAAGTTTCACCCCCAGCTGGCAAGTGCTTTAAAAAAAATAATAAAAGGCTTGCAACCACAACCTTTGCAAAGGGGGACATGGAATGGTGGCAACACAACCCGGAGCGAAGAAGACACCTGCCCGTGACCAGTGTGAGTCCTCACTACGGTTCTTCCTGGTCACCGCTCCTTTTGTTTCCAAGTTCTCGCCTGCATGAGGGGGACGCTGGATTCCTGGGACGTGGGTTCCAACAAGCGGGCTGGGCTGTGTGGCCCGTCAGGGGCACACGATGCTCACAGGACGGTGCCGAGAGCCTAGCGCGGTGGCTGCCGTTCATATGGAGAGCTCTCATGAATCCTGGTAAGACGATCATTTTTACACCAGCGCCCACCAGGCCGTTTCCTCACACAGGGAGTGGCCGTCGGCCCTGTTATCACTTTCTGCTTTTTACCCAATACAGATCCTGTCCCCTGGATCCTCACATCTGTGAGACGCAGCTCATGGATTCCTTTATGCCCGACGAGAAAGCTGAGGCTCAGAAAGGCCCTAGCATCATTTCAAGGTGGGGAGGAGGTGGGGAGGCACCTAGCAGAGACCAGCCAGGACTTCAAAGGGTCCAACCTCCAGGCCTGGACCCCTCCGCCCCTGCTCCTGGCAGAGATAATGAGAGTTGACTGTGCTCATTCCAGACCTCTCCCACCCCTCCCCACCAAGGGGCTAGGCCTGCTGGGAGCCACCTCCTCCTGCCTGGCCTCCTAATTCCCTACTGTGTCCCCTCTCACTCCCCAGGGGGACTTTCTTTCTCTCTCTTTCTCTCTCTCGGGCCTGGGCACCTGCAGCTTACCCCCTGCCCTCCCTGAGGCCAGGGCCAGCATGGCACTCACCAGCTGCTGATCCGATGGGTGGCCGAGGTAGCACAGGGGAGGGCTTCGCTGAGGCCGGGATGGGGCTGCCCATCTGCAACAGAGAGGGGAGACCCTGAGGGGCTGGGGTTCCCCCTGGCTGGGGCCCTCCACACCCCAGCTCCAGGAACCCTGCCGGGGCACCTTGGAAGGGCCCTGCTGGCTCCCACAACCCCTCATCCCAGAGAGCCCTTTGGGCCTCTCTCCACTCCTGAACCCTGAAAGGGGTTTCTTAGTACCAGCTCCCTGGGCTTTCTGCTTCCCTCCCCCCACCAGCCCCGCAACACCTGGCAGCCAGGGTGGGTTTTAGAAGTCAAGCCCTGGCAGGAACTCACCTGGGCTTCTCATTCTACCTACAGGAAGAGCCGGATTGCTAACTGCCACCTGCAAGGCCCTGTGAGGTCAGACTCAGCACTTGTCCAACCACCCTCCTCTGTCTCTGGGCCCCTCACTGCCTCTGTCTGACTGTCCTGCCTTCCTTGTGGAGCCCCCTGTGTGGGCCAGCTAACTCTGGCTGACCTCAGGGGCTTGGCATGTGCTCCTCGCTCTGCCTGGAACACCCTTCTCTGGCCACTTGTTCCAAAGGGAACCCCTGTGAGGTTTGTCTCTCCCTTCCTCTCTCTCTTTCTCTCAGCAGCCCCTTGGAGATGCCTGGCTCCCTCTCTGGATGGCTGCTTGTCACTCACAGCAGTGACTTGCTTGGCCTTGTTCATTACAGGAGCCCATCCAACACCTGGTGCCACCACAGGACGACTCACAAAATACTCGCCAGGCTGGCGTGTGCAGTGACCGAGCCTTGTTGGCCTGAGCTGTGCCTGCCGCCTTCTGGACCCCCTTCCAGGCCCTAAGCCCTAAATTTAATCCCCTCCTGGAATACTGCCCCTCCACCCCCCGACCCCCACCCTACCTCACTAGACAGAGCCAACTCTCCATTATCCGCCTGTAGAGCCAGGGCCTGGAGCGACCACAGGAATCCTGGCCTGCATCTACTCTGCCCGCCGCGCTTGCCTGATGCCGGTGAGCGCGTGCCAATCGGGGCGCGGGCCAATTGTCTGGGCCAAGGTTAACACACTGGGTTGGGGGGGGGGGGGGAGGCGGAGGGCGGGGGAACTTGCGCCCTGTCCAGAACCCAGCAGATGCAACTGCTGGATCACCTTCAACTTGAGGGTGATCCAGAGAGACAGAGGACCGCTGCTGGGGTGAATTCTGGTATTTTTTTCTTTTTTGCCACTGTCCTCACCATTCCATATTTGCCCAGGCAAATTTGAAAGCTGGCCATTTAGGAATCAAGAAATAAAAATGAAGCCAGGGTGGGGTGTGGGGGGCAGCGTGAAGGAAGGGGTGTGTGTGTGTCCAGAAAAGGGGGGGCTACCACCCTGGCTGGGAGGGTCGTCTTTCTGCTGAGTCTTATAAAGGCTGTGATTGCTACACAGGGTCTGCAAAGGCAGGGAGGTTTGCAATGTCTGAAGCAGATTAAAAAAAAAAAAAAAACCAAAACCCTGACATTTGGGACCAGACCATGGGAGGGTGGGGGGAAGCTGTCCTGTGGGTAGTAGGATATTAAGTGGCATCTCTAGTCTCCACCCACCAGATGGGAGGAGCAGCCTCCCCACCGCATGGTGATAACAACTGACAATCTTTGCAGATGTTAACAGTGTCCCCCAGTAGGCAGAATCAACAACCCCCCAGCTTCCCCACCCCACCCCCCACCCTGCCTGGTTTGAGAGCCGCTGGGGTGGGGCAGATGGGGATGCTGTGCAGGGTGTGAGAGTTGGTTGATTGATCAACTCTGTGAGCAAGAACCCAAGAAACAGGGTCCCCGGCGAGTCATAGATGCGAACTTCTCTGGAGAAGGCGGTCGGTAGGTTGGGTACCCAGCCCCGGCAGAGCCTGGTGTCCTGTTTGTCCTGCTCCTGAGATTCCAAGGTGTCCCAGATTTGATGATCCTACGATTGCCACTAAGAATTCTCAAGCCAGGGCCGGGGTGGGGGTGGTGGTGGCAGTGCTGCGTTGCCCTCTTTGTCTGAACGGGCTCCCAGTGCAGGCTCCTGTTTTTAATAACTTTGGAGGAAGCAGGCCAAAGCAGGGCCCATGTCCGAGATGCCTGGAGGCCTCCAAGGATGATGATGATGATGATGATGGAGGAGGAGGAGGAAGGATCCAGAAGTCCCATTGTGGACAGCTGTTCTTGGGTTAGTGGCCGTGCCAAGAAGGGGGAGGCTCTCATTGGCTCTTGTCACCTGAGGTCTCTCCTGGGAGGACTCGCCATAGAGAGGAGGGCATCCATGAGCAGCTTGAAGCCAGGCGGTGTTGTGGAGCTGCCAAGAATCTAGACTTTGGAGCTGAACAGATTCAAGTTCAAGGCCCAGTGCTGTGACCTGAAGGGCTTGCGTTTCCCAGGCTTGGTTTCCTCTTGTGTGCAGGGCCAGTAATGGGTGCCAGTGAGAACCCACAGAATGCTCCAGCCAGAGGAGCGGCAGTAGAGGGCCAGGGGAGAGGGTGGTTCTGGGGGCGGTGCCAGGTGGTGGTGGGGGGGGGCGGGACAGGGCAAGAGCTAGTTCAAGCAGAAGCCAAAGACAGGACCTGAAGCCTCAGAACCCTCCCATTCGCTCCACACTCTGGTTTCATCCCCAGCAATGATGCATTTTTTGTCCCTAAGCTCCCTGTCCCCCCACACAAGGCCAAGCACACACCAGACATCATCCTCTCTGATCCTTAGCTACACCTGGAAGGCCCGGCTAGAGAGGCAGAGGATGCAAGCAGTGAGGTGGCCCTCCCAGGGTGTCCCTGGGGCCTCTGAGGGCTGAGTGGGAGTGAGGGAGGGCTGGGCTTCAGGGTACACCAGTCACCCCTCAGAGGCTCTTGGGATTTGCACCTACAGCAGGTGCATGGGGGAAGGCAGGTGGGGCGGGCTAGAGGACAGTGAGAGAGACACAATGTTCCAAGCCCCAGCTTTCCTCCAACCTCCAGACAGAAACTCCACTCCAAGTCAAACCAGCCGCACTCCATGCTACCGGAGAGAACACCCCGTCATTCTGAGGCTATATGACAGATACGCTGGCACTAATACCTGGTTGGCTCCCTGGGGTGGGGAGGGGAGGACTCAGGATGCCCCTGATCTGCCCTTCCCCTCCCTCCAGACCTAGGGTATCTGCTAGGGAAAGAAGAAACACCCCATTTCTCAGAACCAAAGGGGACCCCAGGCTCCCACAGTCAAGATGTCTGCTCCTTCCTGGCCTGGCTGTGTGACTGACAAGGTCCTGCCACCTCTCTGAGTCTCAGGTTTGGAAGAAGGGCTTGCCAAGGTTTCCAGGGTGCCGGGTTAGCCCTTTTGCCCTCCTGGGGTTTCACTCTGCCATGTGGCTGCCAGACACACATATCACCAGCACCTTCAGGCGTTGGCACGGATAAGGGCGGGTGGCGGTGGCAGCTGTGGCGTGCACTAGGGGTGCGGGTGAGGGTGTCTCCTACCTAGATATCTCTTGCTCCATTCTGTCTGGCTCATTGTCCCTTGTCCTCCTGGAGCACCCAGGCTGGGCTAGCAGCTTTCTCCACCACTATGCCACCAGACCTGGTGGCGTGTCAGTGTCCTCTGTCCCAGATGGTAGAAAGGGAATGGGGTGTGTATGTGTGTGTGTGTGCGCACACGCAGTCACCACTGTGCTCCAGTGCCTGGCTCCAAGGGACAGCTGCTCTATAAGCCTCTGAGGATCAGGGTAAGTGTTGCAGGTGGCTGGGGACAGGTCCAGTGTCCTGCAGGACACCGGCGTGGGGATTCCAGATAAAGGGTGTCAGAGTCATGCGGCTGCTGAGCTGTGTGACCGCGGCAGCTTTATTACCCCTTGGAGTCTCAAAGTTTCCCCATCTTGAAATGGAACCATCCTCGGGGCTACTCCACAAGCTTTTCCCACTCAGAGAATGGCATGAGGTGAGTACTCAAAGGGCTTGGCATGGAGGAAACCCCTGATGCGATGTGGATTGCAAACCAAAGTCTTGGAGCAGAAGACGATGAAGGCAGAGGTGTGGTGCATCAGCTCCTTATTTTGCAGCCACAGAGGCTCCTCCCCGCTGCCACAGGCCCTTTGCACTTGCTGTTCCCACCACCCTGCATGCCATTCATTCCTTGTTGCACTTAGATGCCACCCTCTCAGGGTGACAGTTGGGGGCACTTCCAGGTCCCCACCCCCAACCCCAGCCCAGGCACTTCCCTTCCTAATACCCTCACAGCACCTGTCACCACCTGCCCCTGGGATATTTTAGCTGTTGGATTGTCTCCTGTCTCAGAATGCCAGCCCCTTGAGGGCAGGAGCTCTCGCCTTTGATTTTTATTTGTTCATGGGCTGTTTAACTCAGCACCTAGAACACAGCTTGGCACACAGCACCTGCTCAGCATTGACTGCATGAATAACCGATTTTGAGCAGGGACGCCATGTGAGATACATTTTTGCTGGGTAGACCAAGGCACAAAGAAGTGGGGCAGGTGCCCCTGACACCCCACTCTCTCCCCAGCCACTAGAGGGCACAAGCTGTTTAGGTTCGTGATTCAGGAGCTGGGGTACCCAAGATACCAACCAGGAGATAGATGGGAGCAAGGTGTACCTGGGGACGAGGTTGGCCTTGAGGCAGGGAGCTTGGGGTGCTGAGGTGGCCACTTAGACCCCCTGAGGACACTCTGCGCAGAAGATGGAGCCAAGCCAACCTGGGGTTTGAGTCCCAGCTGCTTGCCACTCACTGGGTGGCCTTGGTCCAATCACCAGCTCCCAGAGCACCTGTTTCCTGCGCCCACCCCTCCCCCCCGCAGCCCCTGCCACTTTGAGAAGACAAGGCTCAAGAGGAATCCGAATCCCAAGTCAGCCCCTGCTGGGCTGGGTGACCTGGCTCTCTCTGAGTTTCAGGTGCCAGCTCAGATATACCCTTGGGGCCACAGGGCCCCCCGCTCTTACCAGAAATGCCACCTCTGCCATCCAGAATGTCTCGAGGGCCCTCCTTGGTGACAGGTAGGTAACGGGCAGACCGGAAGATGCCACCTTCCCCCTCAGTGGCCTCGGCCCCACCCTCGATGTCCTCCCGCGGCGCTGGGCCTGGCAGTCTCTCGGGGCCTCGGGGACGATCTGGTGTGGCCAGACCACCTGTCAGGGCCCCCTCCATGAGTACTGTCTGTCTGGCTCCACTCAGTGGCGGGGGCTGGCTCAGCAGGACATTGTGGGTCTAGGGGCAGAGAGAGGGAGATGCTTAGGAAAGAGCCCGAGTTTCCCTTCTTGCAAAACCCCAGTCCTTACCCCGAACACTCAGCTTGCCTGACTTGACCTCCAGTCCAGGTAAGCTCCGTGAATGGTTCTGACACCTCCCCCATCCCCACACACGACCCCGACCCCATCAATCACTCCCCCTTTACCCAGATCCCGCCTTGCCTCAGTTTCCCCACACACACCCATCGGCAATCCCAGCACTTCCCTGCAACGCTGTCTGGTACCCACACACGGCTGAGCTCTCCCCAGCTGTGTCTCCATTCACCATGCACATGCACATCCTCCCCCCACCGCCCCTACAAGTCCCCCCCCCCCCAGTCCTTATGGGTCCACTTTCTTCTCTTCCACTGCCCAAATCAATCCCCTGCACTTTTCCCACACTCCTCCCCCCTTCCCCACCCCTCCGGCCCTTAGGGTTCTCCAGCTTTAACCCCTTCACCCCCACACACAGCCTCAAGTGACCCTAGTCTCAACCCTCTCGCTTTTTCATGCACACCCAGCCTGGGTTTCTCCATTCTGACCACCCCCCCCAAACACACACCCCACCAGCAGATTGCTCTAGTCCTTGGGCCAAAGGGAACCGTGGGGCCCCTGGTTTAGAAATGAGGACCCTGGGGAGGGGGGGCGGTCCTCGCCACCTATAAATACCTTCAAGGTAACGGCGGAAAGTGAAGGGCAGGAATGAGGCGCCCTCCCCGGGGAGACGGTGGGGAGGCCGGGCCCAGGCAACCGGGGCGGGGCCGGGGCTCCAGGCCTGGTTTCAGGCGCTGCCCTCGGGAGCCTGGGGGCTCCCAGGGGGCCCGTCCTTGGGCTGGCAGTCCTGGCGGGGGTCCCTGCCCAGGCCCGAAGGAAGCACCTGCAGGTGCCCACAGGGTGGGCACTGCCCGCGGGGAACGGGCGGGACCGCAACTTCGGAGCACTTTGGCAGCGTGGGGAGGGGGCTCCCGCCCGGACGCCCCCCGGGGGTCGCAGAGGTAGGGGCTGCGCCGCGTTGGCGCACCCCTTAGGGGGGAAAAGGTCCGGGAGATGTGCCCTCCGCCCGTGCACCTCGAGGCGGGAGACCCCGCGGGACGCGCCGAGGTGGGGGGGGACACCTGCCCCAAGACCCCCGCCCCTCCCCCCACCTGCGCGGCCCCGCCCCCACCCAGGCCCCGCCCCTACAGGTCCCGCCCCGCCCCCCACCCCGGGGGGTCCCGCCTGGCCCGGCCCGGCCCGGGCCTCCCCCTCCCCGCTCCGGCTCCGCCCCGCCCGCGGGCTCCCCAGGCCGGGCCGGGCCTCACCGGGGAGGCGGCGCCGCCGGCTGGACGCCGGGGCTTGGAGCTCCCCTCCTCGGTGCGGCCGTCGCTGCCGCTACCGCCGCCGCCGCTCCCGGTGCCGGTGCCGCGGCCTCCGCAGCCGCCGCCGCCTCCACCGCTCGGGGGACATTGTCCCTTTAAATCGCTCCCCCCGCCGCCCCGCCCCCCCGGCGCGCCGCCGTGACCTCAGCGCGACAGCCCCGCCGCGCCGCCATGATGGGGAGGTCCGGGGCGCCCCCTCCCCCCGCGCCACCCCGCGGGGGGGGGGGCGGCCAGCGGGCGCGCCGCCATATTGGGAGTGGCCCGGCGGATCACCCTTAAAGGGCCCGCCTGGACCGAGAGTCGGGGGTGAGGGGGCAAGGCTCTGTTGTCATGACAACACTCTTGCCCTTCGGCCCCAATGGCTTTTCATCACCCCAATGGTTCTTCCATTGCTAAGCTCACTATTAGCACCAGAACAGTGGGGAGGGGGCAGAGAAGTTCCAGCACCTCATAAGCCATCGAGGATTCTCCCCAGCCAGTCCTCGCGTCCCTAATCAGCCGTCTTCCAATCCCAAACTCATTCCCTCCTTCTCCATCATTCATACTGGACTTCAGCACCTGCATACACTCCTAGGTCTTCAAAGCTGAACACCTGGTCTCCACCCAGTCTCCAGGACCAGCCTGTTGCCTTCTTCCATCCATCACCCATCCATAAACCCAACTACCCAGCCATTTCCCCACCCACTCATCCATGTACCCCATCCATCAACCACCCATCCATTCAACCCACCACCCACCCAGCTACCCCATCATCCAAGCAAACACCCATCCAACCCACCCATCCCTATCCCATCCACCTGCCATCCATATGCCACACCAGCAAGTACCCAACAAGCCCTACAAAACCCTTCCACCGCGGCTCCCAGATGTCCGTTGGTCAACTGCAAGTTTGTGTGTCCTCTCCGCTAGTGTGTGAGCTCCCCAAACTGTGTGTATCCTGAGTTGTTTTCCCATCGCCCAGCTCAGAGTGTTCTGAGACCTCAAATAAAAGTACATATGTTCGATGTAATCGCTTATCCAATTAACTCAAATATTTCTTAAAATGCGTCAGGCAGTCTATCTGGCTGAACTGCCTATCTGGTCAAACACCCAGCAAAAGCTATCTAATGCACGTTGCCACCTTTCACCTATCCATTCCTGCATGAGTCCAGTGCCTACTTCTTTACCCAGTCATTCACTCAGAGCACAACCATCTCCACACTTCCCTCCAGCTGCCTGCCAGACCCCCAAACCTTCTCTGCTGTAGGCGAGCTGGTCTGGAACTTGGAGAAACCTAGGAAGATGATTCTATCTGGGGTCGGCAGAGCTGGGGACAGGGGCTTCCATGCAAAGCAGGTGCTTGCCCATAACAACAAAGAATACCATGTCGGGAACGCCTTTCACTATGGATCTTCCCCTGTGAGTGGGGCACGTTGGATCCATTTTAGAGAGAAACAGAGACTCCTAGGCAGTGGACACTGTAGGTCCTAGCATGGGTGAGAAATCTGCTGACATTGCTCTCTTGCTGAAAGAGAAAAGTTGAGCGAGCTCGGAGTGAGTGTGTGTGTGTGAGTACGTGTGTGTGTGTGTGGAGGCTGGAGTACTCTTTGATCGGCAACACTTAGGGGCAAAGAAGCAACTTTTTTTTTTTTTTACTGGAATCAAGACTTTACTGGGTGACCTCAGGGTGCTATCTGCAACGATAACCACACTACCCTGAAGGCTGAAGCTGGGTGCATCGGACACCCCCCCCCCGAGACGTCAATCTCTGCTCAAGGTCCCCGTGGAGGGGTGGCTCAAGTAGTGCCTCCATTGACACAAGGTGCTTTGAAGGACAGGGGCTGGCCCTGGGAGCATGGCGTCCTTGGATGCTGTAGGCGCTGGACAGCGTCCCCCAAGTGGGTCTGAAAGGTCTCCATCTCAGCCAGTCGCCGCTCCTGAGGGGGTTAGCAGCAGGGGGCTTAGAGCCAGCAGAGGGCTGCACCCCAACCCTTACTCTTACACCCCTCAGACCCACATGTCCCAGGACTGGGCTGGCATCTCACCAGATTTTTCATCCTGTGACTCTCCCTGCTTGGAAAGTCATGCTCAGAATCCGACTCTGAGTTCCTGCAGGGGAAGGGGGTGGGGGGTGTCGGGAGAGCCAGAGGTTAGAGGCTAAGGGAATCCCTTCCAGCTCCTGGTTAGAGACCCAGACATTCAGAGGGGCGGGGCTTGGGGCTGGAGGCGGGGCTTGTATAGACTGGAGGGCGGTGCCTAAGGTGCCTCTGATTCCAGCCTGACCCTGAAGAAAGATGGGATGTCGGAGCTTGGAACGGTCAACAGGAGCTGGGGCTTGGCTAACCCTGAGTGGAGCCGGGGCTGGGTAAGGGAAGCGCTCAGCCTGGCTGCTTGGGGGGCCTGGACTGGCGTATGTGGGGGGTGGGCCCACTTCGGGGCGGGACTGACCAAGAGGCGGGGCCTGAACAGATTACTGGGGGCGCGGCTGACCTAGGGGTATGGCCGTCCAGGCGCGACTGACAGGCACAGCCCCCCCTCCACTCCGGGGGCAGGCCCGTCTTGGCGGGGGCGGGGCTAGCGGCGGGGGTGGGGCTCACCCAGCGCGGAGCCTGGAGTCCAGGTCCTGCAGCTGGCCCCGCAGCTGCTGCTGCTGCTCCGTCAAGGCCCGGATGTGGGTGCTCAGCGACTCCACCAGGCGGGCCAGCGCTTTCTGCTCCTCGCGCAGGGCGGCCACCTCGCCCTGCAGCTGCGTTAGCTATGCGGGAGACATCAGCTGTAATCCGACCCACCCGCCATCGTCCCGCCCCTTCGTCTCCCGGGAGACCCTGTCCTCCTCCCCGTCTGAGTCCCGGGCGCTCGGGCCACGTCACCGCCCGGGGAAGCACGGCTGCGGTCGTGCGAGGGGGTAAAGCCCAGACGGCGGGCTCCGAAAGCGAGATCTCCGGAGCAAGGCGCCGACCGGGGCTGCACCCCACCTTGCCCAGGGGTCGCGGCGTGTCCGGTGCGTGGTCTCGATCTCGCGGCTGGTCCAGCTGGCGCTGCCAGGGCACCGACGGCTTCCGAGGCAGCGAGGCCGAAGCCCCGATTCGGGGTCTGCCGCGGGGCGCGGCGCTGGAGTGCAGGGAGTCCTTGGGGCGCGTCCGCGGTCCCGCAGACGGGCGGCGGCGAGCGGGGCGCCGGGCAGGGACGCTCTGCGTGCGTTGCACCGGCCGCTGCCGCCGCGGGAGTCGGTCCTCATCGGGCCGCGGCCGGGCCCAGCTCCCCGCGCCGAGAAAGCTACGCAGGGACTGGCTCTTGGAGATGAGGGGCGTGTGCTTTGGGAGGTCCCGGGGGGCCACGAAGCCAGGTTTTTCCCCTGCGGACAAGCTGCGGGTGGGGTGGGAAGGTTCAGATCCTGGAAGGACTCCTGACGTGACCCTATGCCGACCTCTGAGCACCACCTCTGGACTTTTAGATCCATAAAACTCCTTTTGACTTATGACCCAGTCCTTAACTTCTATTATACCATTCTCTCTATGACCCCTGCTGTAACTCCAACCTAACCTTTGATCTGTCTGAGCCTAGTCCCTGACCTCTGACCTCTGATGTAATGTGACCCTTGACCTGACCCTTTCCAAAGCCTCTGATTCCAGTGGGACCCTGCACTTGACCTCTGCTCATAAAAGTCTTTCTTCCCAGTGTGAACTTATTTCCTCACCAATCTCTGCATATGATCCTGCCTCCTCCCCCACACCACTGGAATCCAGATCAGACTTGTGGTTACCTGGAGTGGACCTGGGCCGGGGGCGGTAAGAGACGCATCGGCACAGACACAGGCACAGGCCGGCCCTCCTCGATGGCTCGCAGGATGGTGGGCAGGGGTTCTAGGCTGTCACAAGTGGCCTGGCCAGGTAGGCAGGGAGGATGCGGAACATTCAGAACCCACCAGCTTTCTTGCCTCCCTCCTCTGCATCACGGGCTTTGGGCTCGGGGTCGTACCTGGTCCAGCTCTGCAAAGATGGTGCAGAGCTGCGCGTGCAGAACAGCCAACTGGAGCGCCAGGTCGCTGCTGCTCTGATAACCACCGGGGGCTGCGCCGGCATCTACCATGGCCACCTGCTCCAGGAAGCGCTGCATGGCTGGCCCGTGGTCCTCCAGGAAACCATTCATGAAACCCATGTAGGCTTCCTTCTCGCCAAACCTGCGTTGTCAGGGCCAGGCTGGGTGAGTCACGGCAGGCACAGGCCACCCCCCTACGCCCCCTCGCACGGTTTGCCCAGGCTTCCACCACCTACGGGGCACAGTTGGCAAGGTTCTGGATGACCTTGGCGATCAGCGTGAGGGTGCGGGCTGGGCCGGGTGCCGGGTGTTCTGGGGCCAGGCCAAAGAGGCTGGGTGCCAGGATGGCGGGGCACAGGAGCCGCAGGAAGAGGGAGGCACACACCAGTCGGGGGCCCAGCGCCTCAGAGCCGCGAGTTTTGCACGCTTCTCGCCAGCTTGAGAACACGGTGGCCAGCTCTGCCGGGAACCAGCTAAAGGCAGAACAGGGTGGTGGTCAGAGAGAGTATAAAGTTCACACAGGTGATCAAGCTCCTAAACTCAGGGGTCCGTGTTGTGCCACAGTGGATGAAGCCACCACTTGCAAAAAGCCGGCATCCTTTCTGGGGACCTGTTTGAGTCCCGACTGCTCGATTCTGGTCCAGCTCCCTGCTAACGCACCTGGGAAAGCAGCAGAAGATGGCCCAAGTGCTTGGATCCCTGCACCCACATGAGAGACCAGGATAAAGCTACTGGCTCCCAGCTTTGGCTTGGCCCAGCCTTAGCTTTGTGGCTATTTGGGCGAATGAACCAGTGGTTGGAAGATCTCTCTTTGTCTCTCCATATCTGTGTTACTCTGCCCTTCCAACCTAAAGTCAGGCTTTGCAGTTACAAGTGCACTTGGGGTCAGGGTGTAGATTTTGGGATGTGGGGTCACTTGGGGACAGATGTCAGGAGCTTGAGATGTGGTTCAAACAGGACAGAGCTACTATCCACATCCACCATGGCCACCTGGCTCAGGAAGCCTCGTGTGGTTGGAGCATGATCCTTCAGGAAACTCACGCAGTTGAGACTGAAGGAAGATGGGGTGGAGGGGTTACAGGGTCACAAAGAGGGTCAGAAGTCATTGGGGTTGAAGTCCCAAGAGACATGGGATTGGGCATGCAAGTGGAACGCCAAGTTGTGTGGGGTTTGGGAGGCGGGGTCATGGGATTGGGGGAGGGGTCAGGGAATGTGCTTAAAGGACAAGGCATTGGTTTGAGTTACCTGGGTCATGTGGTATGGCCTTGGTTGCAAGCTCTGGCCAATAAAACCTCAGGACACCTAGTTAAACTTGAATCTCTGATAAGCATTGAATATGGTGTTTTGCAGAACCACATCCCAAATATCACATCAAATGTAAGTAAGCATCCCAAGTTTCATCCGGCCACCGTAATTGAGGGTGGGGGGAGGGTTGGTCAAGGTTAGCAGCGGGGCTGCTGGGGCCCCGATTCTCACTCGTAGGAGTGGACGATGGTTTCGAAGACCTCCTCACAGCTGTTCCGGAGTCTGGTCTGGTGCTGGGGCAGCTCTGGGGCAGGACATTTACTGGGGTCCACCTCACAGTCCTCAGTGGAGGCACAGAGACGCTGCACGACCTGCCCTGAAAGCCCAGCACAGTCGCACAGGGGTTGGGGCCACGACCATGCCAAAGCACCACACCCAGCCTTCACCTCTAGCTCCAACTCTCACCACTCATCCTTGGGAGGAGGCCCCAACCGCTCCCGGGATGGTTCCCACCCCTGCAAACACCACACACTGGCAGAAGCATCCAGGCTCCCCGGGAGACTCCCGGCTCTCCCCCTCCCCAGCTCACCCAGGGTCTCCTGCAGGTAATCCTGGGCCACCAGCTTCATGTACTCGTCTATGGCTTTGGTGGCTAACGTGTTTTCCCGGAACAGCAGCGCCTCACGGCCTCCACAGCGAACCAGCTCGGCGGTGCCCAGATCTGTCACCAAAGCCTGGGCGGGGCGGGGCGGGGCGGGGCGGGACAGCACGTGGCGGCGGGGCGCAGACTGAGCCTGGGCAATCCGGGCCCCTGGACCGTCTCTCATACCTGGGGCACGGGCCCGGCCCCTTGTAGCTGATGCACAAGGAGTGCCGGATCTGAATCTTTACTCTCTTAGTCTTGAGTGATGAAACTCAACCCAGGCCCCGCCCCTCAAGTTATCCACAAGTGCAGCTCAAGCCCCGCCCCTGCCAAGAAGTCTCCGCCCCTCCGTGGCTCCGCCCCGTTTAGGCCTCGCCTCCCCGCTGCTGTCCAGCGCACGGGGTCCATCCGTCCGCGCGCCTCACCTGAGCCTGTCCGGTGGCCTGCAGCACGCGCACCATGGCGGCCGCCAGCTCCTCCTTGGCCTGAGCAGGTAGAGCGGGCTCCAGCGCCCCGCAGAGGCGCGCGTAGTGAAAGGTGAGGAACTCCGCCAGCTCCTTGTAGCGTTCAGACGGCAGCACCCGCAGGCGTCGCGCCCGGATCCGTGCCCGCAGCGCCGCGCCCGCCGGCGCCCCGAGCAGCGGGAACCAGCGCTCCAGGCCGGCGGCTGGCGCGCGGGGCACGGCCAGCTCCTCCAGCTCCAGCGCCACGCGGCCCAGCGCCGCAGCCCCGGAGCCGGAGCCGGAGCCACGCAGCCGCAGCGACAGGCGCCGCGCCGGTGGCAGCGCTTCGAAGTGGAAGCGCTCGGCCCAGAAGAGCGGGCCTGGGCCGGCGCGCGGTGCGGTGCGCGCCAGCAGGGCGCCGTCCAGCCACAGCTCGGCGCGCACGCCCGGGGGCGCGGCCGCCGCCGTCCGGGGCAGCCCCTTCGCCTCGTGCACCCACACGCTCAGCCACGTCTCTTCCCGCTCCACGTTGTCCTGTGGCGGGAGGGAGGACGAGAGGGGGCGCGTGTCGGAGATCAGTGGGGGAATGAGGGTGGGGGTCGCGGGAGATTCCGGGGGGTTCCTGAGGCCCAGAGTGAGGACTTGGCGAGTGCCCGGGAGGAGTGACAACAGGTTTCGGTGCCAGGACTTGATAGAAAGGGGCGGGTCTGACACGCAGAGTCGGCGCGGGTTGGGGTATGGATCGATAGACTAGAAGGGGCGGGGGTCTCCTCGCTGCTGCAGAAGCTGTGGGCGGGGCAGGCCTGTGTCAGGGGGCGGAGCTACGGCTGGAACGCTGTTTGGGGAGCATAAGAGAGGCGTGCCCGGGAGTGGGCGGGGTGTCCACGTCCAGCCTTCTAGTGCAGGGGTGGGGTGGGGTGGGGTGGATGGCGGGGACAGTGAATGACCTGGCTGGGCTGGAACTGACGACGAAGATCCTGAATCCAGCGGTCTCTCTGAGCGGCAGAGCGACACGAGAAGCAGCGGCTCCCGCCTGCCCATGTAACCTTTGGCACCAGGGGATTCCAAGGTGACGTGGAAGCCAAAGGTGGAGCCACAGGGCTCTGCCCCTAAGCCACCCTCCAGCACCTTGGGGGCCACTCCCCATGGGGGTGCACCCCCTGCACTTACCTGGAAGCAATGGGGCTCCCCCAGGAGGCTGGGATGCAGCGGCCAGACTCGCACGTCCCGCTCGGCGCCCAGGTCCAGCTCAGAGAGCGTGGCCAGCGATTCCCTAGAGCCTAGAGCACTGGGAGACCTGGGGGGCCTGGTTGGGTGGGGGGAGGGAGGAAGTGAGCAAGGGGTCACTCCTCCTTCCTCCCTACCACCCTGTCGCCCCTACAGGGAGAGGAAGGCTAGGAAACACTCCTTGGATCTAAACAGGATCTGGTCCCCAGGCTCTCTCTCCACCCCTTTCACATGAGGCCCCATCAATTTCAGGATAAACCCAACCCCGGTGACTTCCTGTAGTCCAAGCCTTGCGCTCATCCCCCTTGGTTGAATTCCTTGCTTTCTGAACCCCGGCTGCCCAACCCTGCTTCTGTCGCTTCCTTCAGCCTCTTGGCCATTGTACTTGCTGTTCCCTCTGCTGGAATGCTTTTCCCCACCCCCTCTCGTGGCCGACTTGACTTCCCTCCATCCTTCAGCGCTCAGCTCAAGGGTCCCTTCTTCCCTCACCCTTCCAGACCTGGGTATGTGTTGGCCAACTTTGCTTCCAGCCCCTTGGCAACCCTTACCCGTCCCGAGAAGTGTTGGATCCTGCCTCTGACCTGGCCTTTTTCTTCTCTTTCAGTCTCTTGAGCAATCCCTATAGGAAGGAGAGCGTCGGGGGGCTGGGCAGACCCTGTGCTCCCTCCTCCCCAGCTCCATCCCACCCACCCCAACCTGAGATGTCCCAGAGGATCTTGGGTAAATGAGGCCCAGCTCAGGCTATATTAGTAGGAGTGACCAGGGCAGCCAACAGCTCCCATTTCTAAAGCAATCATTACTTTTTTGAAGCTCTACAGATCTCTTGTAACAGCCCACCTAGAGGCTAGCCCATTATTAGGGACATCAGGTGACACAGAGAGCCCGTGCTTTGACCCACACTGCCCAGTGCGAGGCTCCTCTCAGCTCAGTGGGCCTGGGAGTCCCTGCTGCGCCTGTCTCCCCATCATGGAAGACTCACCCTAACATTGTGCACTTGGTTGGGGTTAGCGGTCTCCGTCTCAGTCCTTCCGAGGCTCCGATCTGTGTGAGTGTGTATTGGGGAGATTGGGAAGTCAAATCATTTTGGGGATGCCTGAAGAGATCCCCCAATGCCCCAGCCTGCCCTTTCTCCCTTCCACCCTGCCCCAACATTCAAACTTACCTGGGTCTCTGTAGTTCCCCATGGCCACTTGGATGCTGCCTTCGGAGCTGGCACTTCCCACCCGGGGCCGTCGAAGACCCTGTAGGCAGTCAGAAAGAGGAGGCTGGCAGAGGGAGAGGCAAAAGCTGCCTGTCATCCTCCCTCCCACCCCACCTCTGAGGAAGAGGAGGAGGAGCATGGGAGGGGGCGGGGCTGGGGGTGGGCAGTGAATGACCTGGCTGCCTGCTTGCCCAGGCACCCATCTCACCTCCTCTTCCCCGCCAAATAGCACCAGCCTCCCGTCCAGCAGGGTAAAACTGCCGATGTCCCAAACAGGTGCATCAGGAGTGGGTGCCTCGGGAATCTGTGGGACAGTGGGCTCCGGCTCTGGGAAGATGGGGGACACACTCAGAGACCCAGGAGCCCTTCCTTGTTCCTCCCTCCAGCCAACCTCTCCATTCGCTGAGCCCCATCTGAGATTCTCTCCTCGGTGCCGCTCAGGAGCCATGCCAGGCTGTGTGCGTGACCTTGGGGCAGTTGCTGCTTCTCCCTGGGCCTTGTCCTCACCAACCCTGTTCCATGGGACCATATCTATCTCTCCACACACTTCCCGTTAATCCATCAGAAATAATCATGAGACTGTTATAGAGCAAGTGTTGTGGTTCAGTGAGTTAAGCCATCCCTTGGGACGCTCACATCCCATATCCAAACGTAGCTTCTGCTAATGCACCCTGAGAGGCAGCAGATGCAAGTGCTTGGGTCCCTGCACCCATGTGTGAGACTTGGATGGAGTTCCTGGCTCCTGGCTTCAGCGTGGCCCAGCCCTGGCTGTTGTGGGCATTTGATTTGGAGAGTAAACCAGAGGATAGATGACATAGCACGCTCTCTTTCTCTGTTAGCCTTTCAAGTAGATGAGAAAATAAACACTTTTTTAAGATTTATTTATCAGATCCTGTTGCTGTGAATTTGTTCTGAGAGGAGGAGTATGGTGGGTGCAGGAGACACAGAGTCACCACACAGACCCTGGGAGTCAGGTGAAAGTGGGCCAGAGGTGAGCAGCCTGCAGACTCGTTTATTTCAGTTGGTACAGCAGCTTAAATAGCCAAGGCAGCCAATCCGGTCAAGGGGCGGTTTATGCCCTAACCAATCACAGCCTGTTGCCAGGCAGTTTCCGAAGCCATCCAATCACAACCTATTGCCAGGCAGGCTCCATTGCCATGTGGTTTCCAAAGCCATTCCTAAGTAACTGAAGCTTGCTTGCCAGCGGCCATCTTGGCATGGCCATCTCATTCCAACACATTGGCCAGCATTGTGACACAGTTAAGCCACCATCTGCAATGTTGGCATCCACTATGAGTGCTGGTTTGAGTCTGGCTGCTCCACTTCCAATGCAGCTTCCCACTAATGCACCTTGGGAGGCAGCAGACTCAAGTGCTTGGGTCCCTGCCACCCACATGGGAGACCCAGATGGAGCTGCTGGATCCTGGTGTGGGCCTGGCACAGCTCTGGGTATTGTGGCCATTTGAGAAGTGAACCAGCAGATGGAAGATACCTCTCTCTGGCTCCCTCTGTAACTAAATACATTTAAAAAAAGTTTTTTTTTTAAAAAAGATTTATTTAATTTAAAGGCAGAGTTATATCCATTGGTTCACTACCCAAATGGCCAGGACTGGGCCAGGCCAAAGCTGGGAGCCAGGAACTCCATCTAAGTCTCCCACTTGGATGCCAGGGGCCCAAGCACTTGGGCCATCTTCCACTGCTTTCCCAGGTGCATTAGCAGGGAGCTGGATCAGAAGTGGAGCAGCTGGGACTCGAACTGGCACCCGTATGATATTTTGGTGTTGGTGCTACAAACAGCGGCTTAACCCGCTATGCCGTAACACCAGCCACAAAAGCTATTGTAACAGAAGCCTAGGGCTGTTGAATGGCTTGCTCAGGGTCACACAGCTTGTGAATAGCTGAGCGAGGCTTCAGAGACAAACATTTCTTCTCTTAATCAAAACAGTGGGTAGATCTAACAGGTTAAAAAAAAAAAAAGACCAGAAGCCAAGAACTATGGGAACTATGGTTCCTTACCTAAACAACTAATCTAAGGCAGAAAGTATTCAAAGTTTGAGAAAGGAACAAAGTTTGGCCACAAGGGGGGGTCACTTTCTTGGGGAAGGGACGGTGTTGGCCAGTGAGGTCAGGGAGGACGTCCAACAGGGGAGAAGAGTTTGAACCAGAGAAGCCTCAGGTGCCAGTTGGAGGAACTAGGTTTTATCCTGGGAGTAATGGGAGGTGTTAGGGTAGGTGATGAGAGGATCTGCTCAGGAGTCAGCTGTCTCCGGGTCTCGTGGTGTGGGGATTGCTTGGTTGCAGAGTGGGAGTATGAGGGGGGCCATTTGGGACACTTGCATCTCATATCAGTGACTGGGTCCACATCCCTGGCTTCTCACTTTTTTCAAATATCGATTCATTTATTTGAGAGACAGAGTTAGAGAGAGAGAGAGAGATCGAGAGAGAGAGAGATCGAGAGAGATCTTCCATCTGCTGGTTCACTCCCCAAATGGCCACAATGGTCGGAGCTTGGGGGAAGTCAGGAGCCAGGGGCCAGGAGCTTCCTCTGGGTCTCCCATGGGGGTGTAGGGGCCCAAGCACTTGGGCCATCTTCTGCCGTTTCCCAGGCCATCAACAGAGAGCTGGAACAGAAGTGGAACAGCTGGGACTCGAACCGGTGCTCATATGGGATGCTGGCACTGCAGGTGGCAGCTTTACCTGCTATGCCACAGCGCCAGCTCCCAGAGCCGCCTTCTGAAGTTCATTTTTCATCAGATTCTGGCTTCAGCCTGAGCCAGTGCTGGCTGCTGTGGGCATTTGAGGGAATCAACCAGCAAATGAAAGCTAGCTCTCTCTCTCTCTCCCTCTCAATCTGTCTCTTAAATAAAAATAAATACAGTTGTTTTTTTAAAGCTGGAGATATGAATGAGAGAGTTAAATGAACTTCCAGCAGTTAGCCCTCTACTCTCTAGCCTTACCACCAGTGGCTGTTAAGGGACAACCACCATGCATCAATAGGTCACTTCCAGTATGCAGGGTCCCAAGGCACTCATTTCCATGGCCTCCTGGTCCTCTCTGGATTCCCACTGTGTGAGTCTTGGCACCAGCTATCATTTTAGTGTTGGCGTGTTTGTTGGCTGTCACCTCCTTCCCCCCACCTCCAACCACCACCACCACCATTGCTGTGAGTATACCAGGCAGAGTGCCAGCTGTCTCAGTCCCTGCTGTATTCTTATTGCCTAAACCAGGGTCTGGCACACAAAATAAAATATTGCACCCTTCAAGGTAGGGATCGGAATTCCCGTTTAACTGATGGGGCAAACTCAGGCTCCAGGGGGTGCAGAAACTAAGACACAAAGGCTCAAAGGAATAAGAGCAAGGAGGCGGAGGCAGAGGACCCGCCAAGGACAGACCCAACGGCACCAAGAGCAGTTTGACGTCTGGATGAAGTTACTGCGCCTCTATGGTCCTGCCTCTTCCACAGGCTGAACCACCCGCCATGCCCACAGATACCCCCTCCCTGGCTACTCCCCCAGCCCCTCTCTAGGTGGAAAGAGGGAAGAGCTGGGGCCCCAGTCGCTTCCTGCCTGACTTTCGTACTCCCCACAACTTCCTGTGTCTGTGCGGCTGATGCTTCTTTGGAGGCAAACACGACTAAGCATCCGGCCGCCCAGCCTGGCCAAGCTCAGGGTAGAGGAGTTGGGGGAAGGGGAGAAAGCCACGTACCTGGGGTGTCTGTCTCTGGTTCTGGCTCCGGTGGTGGGGTCTTCTGTTTCCCCCAGAGGGTCTTGGAGAGCCGGAGGCGACTGGTTCGTGACTCCTTGGGGGGTGCAGACAGCACCCGACGGAACAGCGAGCGAGAGGCTGGCTGGGGACTCACCATGGACTCCTGGTGGCTCAGCGCCCTTCCCCAGCCTGCCAGCCGGGCCCAGCGGAACCCTCCGGCCCCTTTCTCCCCGTTGCCCCCTGTGTGCCAGCGGTAGGAGGTCAGTGGCGAGGAGGCTGCCGGCTGGGGCTGGGGAGCCTGGCTCGGTGATGGTGGTGGGTCCATGGCGGGGCTTCTCCTGGGAGGCACAAGACAGGGTCACGGTTCTGCCCAGTGTCTGCCCTCATCTTGGCACCCTCTCCCACTCCCACTCTGCCCCCCAGGGAGGCCCCTTAGCCAGGGGGAGGCCCCCTGCACTTGAGCCCTTACCTAATTCCCTGAAGAGCCCCACAACCCGGCAGACGTCTGTACCCTGCCTGGCTTCCTCACGCTGAGCCTGGGGCCACGTGACCCTGTCTGTCCCTCCCTGCCCCACAGCCAGGCTGGGAGGGCACAGTAGGGGCAGGATGAGGGGGCGGGGACGAGGGAGGTGGCAGAGCAGGTTTCTGACAAGAAGGACCCACCGTGCCTCTCTGGACCAGGCGGCAGCACCTGCTGCTTTCCCCAAAAGCCTCAATTACCTTCTCTGTACAATGGGTACATGCTGAACAAATGTCGGTGAGATTATGGAGAACCCTGAACTCTCAACCATGGCTGGCTGGGTCATGTCTGCGGGGTGCCCCCAAACAGATGTGTCCACCAGAAATATTAGGGTTCGCCATAGATCCAGACTAGAAATAATCCTAGTTCAATGATAGTACAGTGGATGAATGATGGTCTTGTCACACAGTGGAAGATACCTTATCTTGGTTTGTGGAACATGGAATTAAAAGATGGGGGAGGGTGTTAGGTGCGGTGATTAAGATGCTATTTGGGGCCAGCGCTGAAGCTCAATAGGCTAATCCTCCGCCTTGTGGCGCCAGCACACCAGGTTCTAGTCCCAGTCGGGGCGCCGGATTCTGTCCCGGTTGCCCCTCTTCCAGGCCAACTCTCTGCTGTGGCCAGGGAGTGCAGTGGAGGATGGCCCAAGTGCTTGGGCCCTGCACCCCATGGGAGACCAGGAGAAGCACCTGGCTCCTGCCTTCGGATCAGTGCGGTGCGCTGGCCGCAGCATGCTGGCCGCGGCGGCCATTGGAGGGTGAACCAACGGCAAAAAGGAAGACCTTTCTCTCTCTGTCTACTCTGCCTGTCAAAAAATTCAAAAAAGATGCTATTTGGGGGGCTGTGTTGGGGCACAGGGGGTCCAGCAGCTGCCAATGTCCCATATTAGAGTGCTGGGTTGAGCCTCCATTCCTCTGCTTCTGACCCAGCTTCTTTCTAATGCACCTGGAAAAGCAGCAGATGGGAGAGTAGTGGGTCAAGCGGCCACCTGCAGCACCAGCATCCCATAGGGGCACCGGTTCAAGTTCCCACTGCTCCACTTCTGATCCAGCTCCCTGCAATGTGCCTGGGAAAGCAGTGGAAGATGGCCCAAGTGCCTTGATGCTTATACCCACATGGGAGGCCCAGTCCTGGCTGTTGCGGCAATTTGGGGAGTGAATGCATGAAGGATCTCTCTTTGTCTCTGCCTCTCTGTAGTTCTGCCTTTCAAATAAATAAATAAAAAATTTTAATAGGAAGGCAGCAGGTGATGGCTCAAGTGCTTGGGGTCCTGTCAACCATGTGGGAGACTCTGATGGAGTTCCTGGTTCCTGGCTTGGACCTGGCCCAGCCCTTGTCTGTTTCGGTCGTTTGGGAAGTGACCCAGTGGATAAAATTACCCCCCCCCGCCCCCCCATGGATAAAAGATCCCTCCCTCTGTTTCTCCCTCTCATGCTGCTCATGCTGTGTCTTGCTTGCTTGCTCGCTTGCTTGACAGGCAGAGTTAGACAGTGAGAGAGAGAGACAGAGAGAAAGGTCTTCCTTCCGTTGGTTCACCCCACAAATGGCTGCTACAGCCAGTGCGCCACGCCGATCTGAAGCCAGAAACCAGGTGCTTCTTCCTGGTCTCCCATGCGGGTGCAGGGCCCAAGCACCTGGGCCATCCTCCACTGCCTTCCAGGCCACAGCAGAGAGTTGGATCGGAAGAGGAGCAACCGGGACAGAATCTGGTGTCCCAACCAGGACTAGAACCCGGTGTGCCGGCGCCGCAGGCAGAGGATTAGCCAAGTGAGCCGCGGTGTCGGCCCTCATGCTGTGTCTTTCAAATAAATAAATTTTCAAAAAAAAAAAGAGGCTTTTATCCAGGAGTTCGGGTTTGAGTCACAACTCTGGTTGCAATCCAGTCTCCTGCCAGTGGGTATTCTGGGAGGCAGCAGTTGATAGTTCAAAACCAGGATTGATGGGGCCAGTGCTGTGGTGCAGTGGGTTAAAGCCCTGGCCTGAAGTGCCAGCAGACCATACGGGTGCAGGTTCTAGTCCCGGCTGCTCTATTTCTGATCTAGCTCTCTGCTATGGCCTGGGATAGCAGTAGAAGATGGCCCAAGTCCCTAGGCTCCTGCACCCATGTGGGAGACCCAGAAGAAGCTCCTGGCTCCTGGCTTTGGATTGGCGCAGCTCCGGCCATTGCAGTCATCTGGGGAGTGAACCAGCGGATGGAAGACCTCTTTCTCTAACTCTGTCTTTCAAATAAATAAAATAAATCTTTAAAAAAAAAAAAGTCAGGATTGAGTTTTAGGCTCCCTGCTGCTGCTGCCGCCTTTTTTTTTCCCTCTGGGATTTAGAAAGGAAGGCAGAGCTACTGAGAGAGAGAAGGAGAAGCAGAGAGAGGGAGAGGTCTTCTATCCACCGGTACACTCCCCAATTGGCTACAGTGGCCAGAGCTGGGCCGATCTGAAGCCAGGAGCCAGGAGCTTCTTCTTGGTCTCCCACATAGGGAGACCCAAACACTTGGCCATTTTCTGCTGCTTCCCAGGTGCATTAGCAGGGAGCTGGATTGGAAGTGGAGCAACTGGGACTCGAACCGGTACTCATATGGGATGCCAATGTCACAGGTGGTGGCTTTACCTGTTATGCCACAATGCCAGCACCCTGAATTCCATTAAAAATATTTTACTTATTTGAGAGACACAGAGAGAACTTCCATTGACTGGTTTACTCCCCAAATGCCTGTAATAGTTGAGTCCAGGACAAAACCAGGAGCCTGCAACTCCATCTGGGTCTCCCACACGGGTGCAGAGGTCCAAACACTTGTGCCGTCTTCTGCTGCTTTCCCAGGTGCATTAGCAGGGAGCGGGATCGGAAGCCAGGAAGAAACTGGCTCTCTGGTATGGGAGGATAGCACTACAGGCAGTGGATTTGAATGGCTGCACCAAGCCAGCCCTGCCTTTTCTTTACTGAAGTGAAAATTCACATAGCACACATTTAACACGTTCTATTTTTTGAGCTGGGTGCTGCCTGCCTGGGTGTGGTTCCTAGCAGAAACTCATCAGCCGTGCATTCTGCTGTGTGATCCTGTATTGGTTACTCCTCCTGTCCATGGTTCCTTGAAGAAATAAAAATGCAAAAGGTGAGTCCACGGTGTTTCTGAGGAATAAGTGAGCGGGTGTCATTCGGACCCAGAAACTGGACTGCAGGGGGTGGCGCGCCAGCTGGCCCCTGTGTCACCGTTTGACGTCCGGGGAGTCACTTCCTCTCTCTCAGACTAGGTTTCCTTGTTTGTATGGCAAGATGATAATATCAGTTTCAAGAGGTTCATAAGGTGAGTCTTTGTTGATTCAACAAATGTCTCCTCAGTGTCTACTACGTTGAAGAAGCCCCGGGGAATGAGATAACTGTGGTTCCTGCCTTCCTGAAGCCCACCGGTCACGGAGAGAGACAGATCCTAAATGCGAGCACAGGACATTTGTGGCTAGTGAAGGGCACTGGGATGTGAGCCTTGAGGCACAGCAGGGTAAGCCACTGCCTGAGATAGCTGCATCCCGTATGGACACAGGTTCGAGTCCCGGCTGCTCCACTTCTGCTCCAGCTCTCTGCTAAGGCACCTGGGAAAGCAGCCGCAGATGACTCAAGTGCTTCAGTCCCTGCTACCCATGTGGGAGAATGGCATGGAGTTCCTGGATCCTGGCTTCGGCCACATGCAGTTCTGGGCTGTTGTGGCCATTGGGGGGGGGGTGAACCAGCGGATGGAGGATCTCTCTCTCTCTCTCTGTAATTGCCTTTCAAGTAAATAAATAAAAGATTACTTGGAAGGAAATAGATTGGAGTAGATGTTGAGCAGGACTGCTGCTCTTGGAGCTGGAAAAATCAGAGAGGGCTTTCCTGAGGAGGTGACATTTAAACAGGAGGTGTATACCAGGTAGAGGAAATAGTTTTTGCAAAGGCAGGGTTGCCAAGAATCCATGGGATGTAGAGGGTAGACTGCATGGGTGTGTGGCCTGTGTAATCCCAAAGGACCCTAGGCTCAGAAGGATCCACTCTGCTGCTTTCCTGAAATTATTGCATTTTTAAAGCAAGGGACCCTGCATTTTTCTTTTGCACTGGGTCTTGTAAACTTTGCAGTCTATTCTGAGTAGGAGGTCTTTATTTCTTGCTTTTATTTTTTTAAAAATCTTTTATGTAAAGATTGATTCATTTATTTGAAAGTCAGAGTTGAGAGAGAGAGAGAGAGATCTTCCATCTGTTGGTTCATGCCCCAGATGGCTGCAACAGCCAGGGCTGGGCCAGACTGAAGCCAGAAGATTTCTTTGCGTCTCCCACATGGGTGGCAGAGCCTCAAGCACCTTCCACCACTTTTCCAGGTGCATTAGCAGGGAGCTGGATGGGAAGTGGAGCAGCTGGGACTCAAACCGATGCCCCGTTTGGGATGCTGGTGTCGTAGGCAGTGGCTTTACTCCCTACACCACAATGCCAGCCCCTGTTTTATTATTTTTGACTATCAGATTGTAATTGAATATGTTTGTGGGTTGTGATGTCATATTATATATGCATACAAGGTGGAATGATCAAAGCAAGCTGAGGGGGACGGTGCTGTGGCATAGCAGGCAAAGCTGCTGCCTGCAGTGCCAGCATCCCATGTGGGCGCCGGTTTGAGACCCGGTTGCTCCACTTCTGATCCAGCTCTCTTCTGTGGCCTGGGAAAGCGGTGGAAGATAGCCCAAGTCCTGCACCCATGTGGGGGACCTGGAGAAAGCTCCTGGCTCCTGGCTTTGGATTGGTGCAGCTCTGACTGTTTCAGCCAACTGGGGAGTGAACCAGCAAATGGAAGACCTCTCTCTGCCTCTACTTCTCTTTCTGTGTAACTATGACTTTCAGATAAAAAAAAGAATCTTCAAAAAAAAAAAAAAAAAAGGCAAGCTAAGGAGTGGGGGGTGTCTCTGCACACACAAGTGCACTTCCAAGAGTTTGTGAAGGGGCCAGCACTGTGTCACAGCACGTTAAGCCACTGCTTGGAACCCCTGCATCCCAAACTGGAGTGTCTGGGGTCAAGTCCTGGCTACTCTGCTTCCAGTCCAGCTCCCTGCTAATGTGCTTAGGAGTGTGGCAGATGATGGCCCAGGGACCCGGATCCCTGCCACCCATGCAGGAGACCCAGATGGTATTCCTGGCTCCTGGTTTCAGCCTGGACCAGCCCTGGCTGTTTCGACCATTTAGACAGTCAATCAGTGGATGGAAGATCTCTCTCTCTCTCTCATGCTGCCTTTCCAATCAATCAATCAATCTCTCTTTTTTTGAAAAAAGTATTTGTTTATTTATTTCAAAGGCAGAGTTACAGAGAGGCAGAGGCGGGGGGTGGTGGTCTTCCATTCGCTGGTTCACTCCCCAAATGTCCACAATGGCTGGAGCTGGGGCGATCCAAAGCCAGGAGCCAGGAGTTTCTTCTGGGTTTCTCATGTGGGTACAGGGGCCCAAGCACCCAGGCCATCTTTACTGCTTTTCCAGGCCATCAGAGGGCTAGATCGGAAGTGGAGCAGCTGGGACTTGAACTGGTGCCCATATGCGATGCTGGCACTGTGGGCAGCAGCTTTACCTGCTACACTACAGTGCTGGCCCTGATCAATCTTTTTAATAAGTTTGTGGAAGCAGCCAGCATTATGGCATGGTGGGTAAAGCTGCCACCTGCAGCACCAGCATCTCATATGGGCACTGGTTTGTGTCTCAGCTGCTCCACTTCCCATCCAGCTCCCTGCTCATGGCCTGGGAAAATAGCAGAAGATGATCCCAAGTACTTGGGCCCCTGCCACCTATGTGGGAGACCTGGATAAAGCTCCTGGCTTCAGCCTGGCCCGGTGCTGGTCATTGTGGCCATTTGGATAGTGAACCAGTGGATGGAAGAGCTCCTCTCTCTGTGTTTCTCTCTTTCTCTCTCTCTGTAACTCTGGCCTTTAAAAAGTTTGTGAAAAATAGAATTAAATAATAAGTTTATTTTGGTGCCCCAAATTTTGAAATATATGGATAATTTTTCCATAATACACTTTTCCATGAACTTTCTGAAGACTTCATTGTTTTTTAAAAAGATGTTATTTATTTGCTTGGGGGGTAGAGTTACAGACAGAGAGAGGGAGAGACACAGAAAGAGAGAGGTCTTCCACCCACTGGTTCATTTCCCAAATGGCTGCAATGGCTTGAGTGGGGCTGATCCAAAGCCAGGGGCCAGGAGCTTCTTCCAGGTTTCCCAAGTGGATGCAGGGGCCCGAGGACTTGGGCCATCTTCCACTGCTTTCTCAGGTGAATTGTCAGGGAGGTGGATCAGAAGTGGAGCAGCCAGGACTCGGACGGGCGCCCATATGGAATGCCGGCTCTGCATAGCCTACTATGCCACAGCACCAGCCCAGAGACTTCTTATATACATACATTTCAAACCATTTTTGCACCAAAGTAGAATTATCTTGAATTTTTTCTAACCTATTGATTCGCATTTTTTGAAAGACAAAGACAAAGATAGAGGCAGAGAGAGAGAGAGAGATCCCATCTACCTGGTTCACTCTTCAAATGCCCACAACAACTGGAGCTGGGCTAAACCAAAGCCTGGAGCCCAGAATCCAATCCAGGTTATCTACATGGGTGGCGGCAACCCAAGAACTCGAGCCATCATCTGCTGCCTCCCAGGATGACCGACAGCAGGAAGCTGGACTAGAAAGCAGAGCTGGGATTTGAACCCAAGTGCTGATACTGGATGCAGGTGTCTTATGGATACAGCTGGGTCTTATGTGCCATGCCGCAGCTCCTGTCCTGGAATTCTCATCGCAGGTCTGCTCTGGGCAAACTCCAGCAAGACGACAGGTGCAAACACAGAGGAAGCAGGAACAGGTGCTTTCTCTCCAGGGTCTCTTTATTGGAGGTCTGCGGTGGGGGGGATGCTCCTTGAGGGGTGGGCTCTGTTCCGTCTGCGAGAGCTCCTCCTGGCCGTTCTCCTCCTCACAGTCTAGAAAAAGGCAAGGGAGTGTGTGAGGCCTGGGGTTGTGGGTGGCTGGGTTTGCCCTCCTGGAGGTGGGATAGGGACCCAGAGCCAGAGCGCCCACTGCAGGCTGGTGTGGGCAGAGCAGGCGCCTGGCAGGAGGAGGCAGGGAGCCTGAGATAGTCCAGGTGTGACTGAGAGGTGCTTAAGCGGTCAAGGCTGGGGGGCCGGGACAGGGCGAGGCCATGGCTGGGTGGAGGTTGTGTTGGCAGAAGGGGGTGACAGGCGGGGGTCGGGGGCCTCAGACTCACGGCGGCGAAGCGTGGCCAGGTTCGCAGTAGGCCGAAGAGCGCGTCTCCCGGGCAGTCGGTGGACACGAGCTGGCGGTGGCCGAGCAGCTCGTAGTCGGCCCGCAGGAGACCGGCGCGTAGCGCGCAGGCGGGGAGCTGGTCTCGCAGGGCGCGCAGCGCGGCCTCGGTGGGCAGCGCTGCCGTGTAGTTGCCCACGAAGGCCACGCCGAAGCCGCGGGAGTTGTGGCCGAGCGTGTGTGCGCCCACCCAGTGCCAGCCGCGGCCCTCGTACACGTAGCCGTCCGAGCCCACCACGAAACTGCGCAGGGAGGGGAGCGAGAGAGGTAGGCGTCCGGGGGGCACCTTCTCCTTTGGCCAGGAGCCTTGGGACCCCCCAAGTCCCGGGGGACACCCGACTGCAGCGTGGTACCCCCCCTGCATTGACCTCTCCTGGTATGCCCCCTGCGTCGCGCCCCTCTCCCCCACTTTTTCTCAAGTCTAGCATGCCCTGCCCCAGTCCCAACCCTCTCATAGGCTCTGCCCCTCCCCCAAACCCCGCCTCTGCCCTACTTCCATCTCCGCCCTCAGGGGTCCTACCCTTGGTTATCTTCTTAGAATTGTGCCTATGAAATCTGGTCTCGTTATATAAATAAAATTAAAAAAAAAAAAAGATTTCCACGGTTCAGCTATTTCTAGTCCTCCATAAGGCCCCGGCCCGAGAATAGACCCTCTCCAACTTAGTCCCACGCTTAGCAAACTCTTCCCCTGTCAAGCCACACCCCCTCGCAAAGGCTCCGCCCCCTCAGCCTCCCACCCGAGCTCCTCCGCCCCGCCCCTGCTCCAGGCCCGGCCTCGCCCACCTGTAGCCTATGTCGTCCCAGCCACGCGTGTCCTGGTGGAAACGTTGCATGGAGCGCATGTCGGCGGCGCAGTGCGCGAAGTCGGTGCAGGCTGGCGCCGGCACGTACGTGTGATGCACGTACAAGAACCCCAGCGGCAGCTGCAGTGGCTTCGGATGGCCCCGGTAGGGCGCTGCGCCCCAGCGGCAGCGCGGGTGGATGGCGGGGCATCCTAAGGGCCAGGGCGTGCAGGGCTGGGGTCAGCAAGCGTTTCCCCGTGACAGCGCGGGTCGGCACCATCCCTCCAGCCTCCTCCCAGGTTTGGGACGAGGGGTCTGGTGTCACCGCACCCTGGCCCCCGTTGGGGGACAGCTGGACTAAAATCGAACACCATCCTTAGCTTTGCTGCAATAGCTTCAGGATAAAGCCCAAGACTTTGAGAGCAGATTTCAAGGCTCTGCGGTCTCTCCAGCTGGCCCTGCCCTGAGCGTTGGGACAGAACAGCCACACTGAGGAAATAAGACTGTGGCATAGCCCCTCCCCCGGGAGCCTGCGATCCCGTGGCCAACAGCTCCTTCACTTCCCATCCAGCTCCCTGCACCTGGGGAAACAGCGGAGGATGGCCCAAATACCTGAGCCCCTGCCACCCACGTGGGAGCTCTGGATGGAGCTCCTGGCTCCTGGCTCCCAAACCTAGGCTGTTGCAACCATTTGGAGAGTGAACCAGTGAATGGAAGATCTCTGTCATTTCAAATACATATATAAATTTTTTTATAGGATGGGGAATCTCCGTTGAGATTCAGCAAACCCAAGAGGTGGCTGAGATGTCGTGAGGTCCAGAGAAGTGAAGCAACTTCCCTGAAGACGCTCTGACCTTGCACTTCAACTCTGCTTTAGCAGAGGCTGAGACTGTTATTGGGAACATCCGCTTCCTCACATTAAAAAAAAAAAAATCAGGGGCAGATGTGTCATAGTAGGTAAAGCCGCCACCGCAGTGCCAGCATCCCATATGGGCACCAGTTCGAGTCCCGGCTGCTCCGCTTCTGTTCCAACTGCCTGCTAATGTGCCTGGAAAAAGCAGTAGAGGATGCCCCCAAGTGCTTGGGCCTCTGCCACCCACTTGGGAGACCCGGATGAAACTCCTGGCTCCTGGGTTTGGCCTGGCCTAGCCTGTGGCTGTTGGGGCCATCTGGGGAGTAAATCAGCAGATGGAGGATTTCTCTCTCTCTCTCAGCCTTAAAAATTAAAATAAATCTTAAAAAATTATCAAAAAATTAATCAGATGAACTCCTGCTCATCCTTCAAAGCTCCACCACAGCACTGGCTCGCCTGTGCAGCTGTCTCTGCCTCCCAACCAGATACCTGGTTGTGCCTTCTGTGTGCACCCCCCACCACCACCACCCCACCTAGTCCTGGGCTTTCTTGATCACAAAGAGTGGGGAGGAAGAGGGTCAGAGAGGGTGGGGGCCATCTCACCCAGGAAGGCCTCAGTGAACTCCTCGGTGGCGTGGGTAGCCACCTGGGCCAGCTGTTCTTGGCTCATATTCTGCAGCTGGGGGTGGGCTGGCTCCAGGGCCTGTAGCAGGACAAGGGCCCCCAACACCTGCCGTGCCAGGGTAGGGGCCAAAGCCAGAGTGGCCCCATTCTGCCGTCGGAAGTTGCTGCGGAGTCCCGGGTCTCCCGCAACCCCAGCTCCGTAGTACTGGCCCAGCAGGTCGCTGAGGGGTAGCCGGGGCTCAGGGTTCCGGCTCAGGTAGTCTCCGAGGAGGATCCCATCCAGGGCACCATTGAGGAAGGCCATGGTGAGTGCTGACGGCTTGGGGTCCAGGAGCGTGAAGTTCCTTGGGAAAGAGAGCTCATCCCAGCAGCCCTCCGTTCCCAGGCCTGGCTGGCTCGGGATTTGGGGGTCTTGGAGGAAGGTCAGGCCCAGGTCTCCAGCCAGGGTAGCCACCAGGAGGCTGTCCATAGTATTGGGGGACTCGGCTTGGTCTGCTGGGAAGCTGGCTCCAGCACCCCAGGACGCAGCAGCGTAGCTATCCAAGGTCAAGTTCACAGCCCTGCGCCCCCGCAGCCCTGCCTCCAGCCCCACCAGCAGAGGCTCCACGGCCACGGTTGAGCCATCAGGGGCCAGCACCACCCCATATTCCTGCCCGTCCCGTACATCATGTCTGGTAACTTCCTCCACGAAGCTTAGGAGCTCGGGGCTCAGTGGGCGGGGCTCCCGCGCCGCAGCCTTGAACTCTGGTGCCTCCAGGAGGAAGCCACGGAGTGGGTTGCGGTGGCCAGCGTCCTGCACTGACAACAGCCATGCGGGGGCTGTGTGTCTGGCCTCAGTGGCTGGTGCCTCCTGCTCCAGCTCGGTCAGGGCCTGGATTACAGATTCCATGTTCAAGGGCAAAGAGGCTGCAGATAAGAGAGGACGTGTGAGGCCAGAGGGGCAGCTTCCTGCCTTCCTAAACCTTCCCCAGCCGATTCTGCCTTTTCCTGGCGCTCCCGGCTCTCTTTCTGAGGATCTGGGTCCTGAGCACTGTCCTGGGCAGACAGGGAAACTGAGGCAGGCTGTGTTGGCCCAGGAGTTTGGACCACCTGTGAGCACTGGGGAGACACAGTGGGGTTACGAGCAGGAGAGGGCCAGAGCTAGGCTGGCATTCTAAGACTGTGCCTTTGGCTGCTTTGTGGAGCTGGATTTTGGTGTGTGTGTGTGTGTGTGTGTGTGTGTGTATGTGTGTGTGTGCAGGGATAGACAAGGTAGCCAGGGTGTGGTGGGGTGGTGAGTGATGAAGATGGCAGAGGGGTCCCCCGATACTGAAGGGGTGGGGAAGATGGACAGGTTTAGGTGACAGAGCAGAAGTGGGTGATTTTACAGGGAAAAGTGTCTTAAAGGAAACCCCAGGGGGAGGAGCGGGGCAGGCTTGTGCCTTGTGGGGGGAAGTACCAGTGGCTGTACCTGGGCCCCAGAAGGGCTAGGATCATCTGAGTAGTGGTTGGGTTGTTGAATCATGTTTATTCAATATGTATCATGTGCCAAGCTCCACTCTGGGTGGCTTACGTAACTTAACTCATGTGATCTTCACAACAACCCCGCAAGCTGGGTCCTATCGGCTGCCTTTCATAGCTAAGCCACCCGGAGCACAGAGAGGTTCAGTTACCCACAAAGGCCACACAGCTGGGAAAACGGCAGAGACAGGACTTGAACCCAGGATGCTTTAATCCCCTCCCAGTCCAGAATCTGAGTTCTCCTCCACACAGCCTGTTCTGTAATTTCTCCATAACCTTGTTCTTCCCTGCATAAAAAATGTCCCCTTCGGTCGGTGCTGTGGCACAGCGGGTTAACGCCCTGGCCTGCAGTGCCAGCATCCCATGTGGGTGCCGGTTTGAGACCTGGCTGCTCCACTTCCCAGCCAGCTCTCTGCTATGGCCTGGGATAGCAGTAAAACATGGTCCAAGTCTTTGGGCCCCTGCACCCGCATGGGAGACCCAGAAGACGCTCCTGGCTCCTGGCTTCAGATTGGCACAGCTCCGGCCTTCGCGGCCAATTGGGGAGTGAACCATCGGAAGGAAGGCCTCTCTCTCTCTCTCTCTGCCTCTCCTCTCTCTGTGTAACTCTGACTTTCAAATAAATAAATAAATCTTTTTTAAAAAAAGTTCCATTCTTCCTCTCTACCAAATGCAATTCTTTCTGTCCTCTCTCCGTGCCTCCTCCTCCAGGAAGCCTTCCTTCCCAGGTCCCAGGTCCCAGGTCCCAGGTCCCAGGTCCTTTCCACCCATTCCTGACCTGATTTCACAGGGCTAGGAACATCTGTATCCCCAGACTGAGAGCTGGGGCCCCTGAGATCTCCAGCCACACCTCACACAGGACCAGAGAGAGGGGAGCGGAGAGTCCCGGCTCCAGGCCTCTGCCTTCCCCCAACCCCGACCCGACCCACCTCTCCCTGGCTCCGGCCACAGCAGCAATCCAAGCAGGATCCCGAAGACACCCCAGGTCATCATTGTGGGGTCGCAGCTTCCTGGGGGCAGTGCCCTGACAGTCTCAGCCGGGAACCTTAGCAGGTGCTGTTCAGAGACAGGCACAGAGAACCAAGCAGAGTCTTTGGCCCTCTCAAAGTCCAGCGGTGAATGACACGGTCACCCCCTCGCAGAGCTGTGGGCGGGAGGCAGCAGCAGCAGCAGCGGCAGCGGGGTGGTGGTGGTCAGAGTACCCTAGGCCAAGGTCATCTGGGGCTCAACAGCTCCCCCATCCTGTTCTGTGCCTCTCAGGCTGAAACCAAGGGTCAGTAAGCCAGGCTCAACCTAGGAGGGGCCTGAAGGAGGGGTGGTTCAGAATCCAACAATGTGCCTATTCTCGACAGAGGTAAACTGAGGCTCATCCAGTAAATCCAGCTCTCTCCCAACAGTGACAGCTCTATAGCTGCTGCTGACCACTGCAGAGTACTCTCATTTTCCCACCTGCCAGGCTGGTTAAGACTGGCTGTGTTGCGGCTGGAGGCACAGGGTGGGGGGGAAGGAGCTGTCATTCTGTGTCTCAGCAGATGGTGGGTGCAGGGGCTGAGGGCAGGGGCCAGGAGATATCACCCATTACCTAATTCTAGTCCATGATCCCAAGCCCCCCCCCCCCGGGGGGGGTTCAGCCTGGGTATTAGGGAGCCTAGCCTTGTCCTAGGAGTTGGCTCCTGGACTCACCTGGCTTGGCTGATAGTCAAGGGTCCTCCGTCTTCCTCTGCCCCGGGGCCTGTGAACGCGTTTCACAGAGTGTGGGTCAATTTCCCCTTTATCCCAGAGCCAGCCGGGGCGGCTCGAGGTGTGTAACCTGCTGAGCCTGTGAATCACTTCCTTATGGACCTCCCACCCCAAAACCAGCCCAGGGAGTTTCCAAAGGCACCCACCAGGCTGGAGACTCAGTGACAGGCAGGCGCTGTACAGGCCTCGGAAAGCCCAGGCTGAGCCCAGAGCTGGGAATCCCCCTGGGAGCCATGACTGGGACCTGCTCAGATGGGAAAGGGGAGATCTCCTCTTCCTGGGGGCCCAGCTCCAACCCCTCCTCCACAGCAACCCAGACACACAGTTAGGGACTCAGGATGTAGGGTGCTGAGGGACCCTGTGCCTGGGGGCCGCACCCCAGGGGAGGCAGAGGCAGAGGCAAGAGTGGCGGATGTTCCTTTTTTTTTGACAGGCAGAGTGGACAGTGAGAGAGAGAGACAGAGAGAAAGGTCTTCCTTTGCCGTTGGTTCACCCTCCAATGGCCGCCGCTGCAGCCAGCGCACCGCGCTGATCCGATGGCAGGAGCCAGGTGCTTTTCCTGGTCTCCCATGGGGTGCAGGGCCCAAGCACCTGGGCCATCCTCCACTGCACTCCCTGGCCACAGCAGAGGGCTGGCCTGGAAGAGGGGCAACCGGGACAGAATCCGGCGCCCCGACCGGGACTAGAACCCGGTGTGCCGGCGCCACTAGGCGGAGGATTAGCCTAGTGAGCCGCGGCGCCGGCCCCCCCCCCTTTTTTTTTTTTTTAAGATTCATTTGAGAGGCAGAGTTACAGACAGACAGAGGGAGAGGGAGAAGGAGAGGGAGAGGAAGAGGAAGAGTGAGAGGGAGAGAGAGAGACACACACACACACACACACACACAGAGAGAGAGAGAGAGAGAGAGAGAAATCTTCCATCCTCTGGTTCACTCCCCCAGTGGCTGCAAGGGCCCAGGACCCAGGAACTTCATCTGGGTCTCCCATGTGGGTGGTAGGAACTCAAACATTTAGGCCATCTTCTGCTGCTTTTCCAAGCAGGGAGCGGAGCATATGGGACTTGAACCGGTACCCACATGGGATGCCAGCATTGCAGGCAGTAGCTTTACCCACTACGCCACAGAATCGGCCCCAAGATTTTTTTGAAGCGGCATCTTAGGTTCGGGAAAAACCAGACATAACGTACAGAGAGTTCCTGTAATCTGCACTTGCACAGCCTCCTCCACCGTCAACGCCACGCACCAGTGCAGCACGTTTGTAGCAGTCAATGAACCCATATTGACACATGCTTATCACCCAGAGTCCATCGTCCACATCAGGCATGTGTGCGTGGGTGGGGGAGTTTACAAGAAGTTCATGGAGGAGCCAACGCTGTGGCATAGTGGGAAAAACTGCCACCTGCAGTGCCAGCATCCCATATAGGTGCTGGTTCGAGTCCCGGCTGCTCCTCCTCTGATCCAGCTCTCTGCTGTGACCTGGGAAAGCAGTGGAAGATGGCCCAAGCCCTTGGGCCCCTGCACCCGTGTGGGAGACCCTGAAGAAACTCCTGGCTCCTGGCTTTGGATTGGCACAGCTCCAGGTGTTGTGGCCATTTGGGGAGTGAGCCAATGGATGGAAGACTCACCCCCTCTGTAACTCTACCTTTCAAATAAATAAATCTTTTTTTAAAAAAAGTTCATAGAAAACATGTAGTGTGGAAAACTATGCATGATTTCAATTTTTTAAAGATTTATTTATTTATTTGAAAGGCAGAGTTACAGAGAGAAAGAGAGAGAGAAAGAGAAAGAGAGAGAGAGAGAGGGAGGTCTTCCATCCAGTGGTTCACTCCCCAAATGGCCCCATTGGTCAGAGCTGTGCCGATTCAAAGCCAGGAGCCAGGAGCCTCTTCCAGGTCTCCCACATGGGTGCAGGGGGCCCAAGCACTTGGACCATCTTCTACTGCTTTCCCAGGCACATTAACAGGGAGCCGGCTAGGAAGTGGAGCAGCTGGGACTGGAACCGGTGCCCATATGGGATGCCAGCACTGCGGGCAGAGGCTTTTACCTGCAACACCACAGTGTCAGCCCCCAAACTTAATTTTGAAAAAAGATTCGTTATTTGAAGGGCAGAGCTGCAGAGAGAGCGAAGCAGAGAGAAATCTCTTCCATTCGCTGGTTTGCTCCCCGGATGCCTGTGGTAGCCAGGGTTGGGTCAGGCCAAAGCCAGAAGCTGAGGACTCCGCCTGGTTCCTTACAGTGGTGGCAGGAGCCCAGCTAGTTGGGCCATGATCTGTTGCCTTCCCAGGTGGATTACCAGGGCGTTGGGTTGGAAATGGAGCAGCTGGGACAGGAACCAGTGCTCTGATATGGGATACAGGCCACACGAGGTCCGGCTTAACCCGCTGTGCCATCATCCCAGCCGCAGTGTGTAGGACTTCGTGTGGATTTAAGTTTTCATCTCAGTTGTGTCGATACCAAGGAGTATGTTGGCTGCATCAAATGATAAGACCAAATTTCATCTGAAAAACAAACAAACAAGCAAAAACCAGCCAGTACTGGCACTGTGGCACAGTGGGTTAAGCCGCCACCTGTTACGCCAGCATCCCATATGGGCACCGGTCTGAGTTCTGTCTGCTCCACTTTTAATCCAGCTCCCTGCTAATGTGTCTGGGAAAGCAGCAGAGATGGCCCAAGTGCTTGGGCCGCTGCACCCATGTGGGAGACCCGGAAGAAGCTCCTGGCTCCTGGCTTTGCCCTGGCCCAATCTTTAAAAGAAGGGAGTGGCAGCTTTGGAGAGGTTAGGTAACTTGCCCAAGGTCACACAGCCAGAACCAAGGGCTGTTCCATTAACCCCTGAGGTTTCCAAATCAGAATCAGAGGCATAAAGGCCCTGCCCGGACTGACCTCAGAGCCACTTCTCACCCAGCGTTCACAGGGCCGGCCACATGGGCTGCCCCAACTTCTTTTTTAAATCTTGGAGGAGGGACAGAGGCTGAGTTGTGTTCAAGTGCGTCTCAGGCTGCGGGGGTCTGCTGGGGCAGACTCCCTCATCTAGGAAGTCCCCCCGGGTTATCCGTCACTCCTCACTTCCCTTCCTGGCTCCCAGGCTCGGGGTTCCTCCTTCTGTCCCCAGGCCTGTGCTGTGAGATGCTGAGTGTCCTCGCAGGGACCAGGAGGGCCTCGCACAGGCTCAGCGTGGATGGCAGAGAGGGCTGGCTGTGAGCACAGGCAGTCAGATTGAGGATGTGGGGTTGGTTTGGGGTTTGGACTTTCAACCACACACACACCTTCAGGAACCCACCACACTCATTCTGGGCTGGACCCAGGAGGCAGGGGGAAGTCCTTCCCCTCCCCACGTGAGACCCACATGCCAGCAGGGGTCCAGGCCCCTCCAGGCTGCAGAGAAACAGGTGGTCTCGGGTGAGTAGTTGCTAACAACGGCATGGGGCCGGCACTAACAGGGGAAACACTGGCAGCAGCAGGTGCAGCCATAGGCCCCAGATCTTAAAGATTATTTATTTTATCTGAAAGGTAGAGTTATATATATATATGTGAGATATATATATATAATATATATAAATATATATATCTCATCCATATGTTGGTTCACTCCCCATATGCCCACAACAGCTGCGGCTGGTGCAGGCCGACATCAGGAGATAAGAACTCTGTCCTGGTCTCCTACATGGGTGGCAGGGGCCCAAATACTTGGGCCATCATTTGTGACCTTCCTAGGCTCATTAGCTGGGATCAGAAGCAGAGCAGGGGGCCGGCACTGTGGCATAGTGGGTAAAGCTGCCGCCTGCAATACAGGCATCCCTTATGGATGCCGGTTTGAGACCCGGCTGCTCCACTTCTGATTCAGCTCTCTGCTATGGCCTGGGAAAGCAGTGGAAGAGGGCCCAAGTGCTTGGTCTCTTGCAGCTGTGTGGGAGACCCAGAAGAAGCTCCTGGCTCCTGGCTTCTGATTGGTGCAGTTCTGGCCATTGTGGCCATCTATGGAGTGAAGCAGCAGATAAAAGACCTCTTGCTCTCTCTCTCTCAAATAAATAAATAAATAAATAAATCTTAAAAAAAAATCAGAGCAGTAGGAATTGGAGCTGGTGTTTTGCTATGAGAGGCCAGTGTAGCAAGAGGTGGCTTAACCTGCTGTGTCAGCCACAGCACTTGGCCCCCTGAGCTAAGATTTTATGTACCTGTGCTTACTTATTCAAACTTGGTCTTATTAAGAGGTCTCCTACATGGTGCAAGGGCCTAAGCACTTGGGCCATTTTCTACTGCTTTCCCAGGTGCATTAGCAGGGAGCTGGAACTGAAGTGGAGCAGTCGGGATGTGAACCGGTGCCCATATAGGATGCTGGCGCATTTATTAGAAAGATAGAGAAAAGCAGAGAGACAGATTCAGAGACAGACAGAGATGTCCCATCTGCTGTTCACTTCCCAAATGCCTACAGAAACCAAGGCTGGGCCAGACTGAAGCCAGGAGCTGGGAGCTCAGGCTGGGTATTCCA